TCATATTTAGCAACACTAATTTACTTCTTAATTCTTAAATCCGATTTTAAAAAGTAACAACTTTTCTTATGTGGAAGTTTCTTGCTCTTCCGTCTTTGCAATGCATGGATCGATAATTGATAATACGATATGTTTTAGGTTCAGCCTCTCTAAATGCAAATTTGGAAGAAATCGGATTATTTCTTTTTTCCCGACCATTTTTATATAGTACAGTAAAACTCGGTTATAACGAAGTCACTGGGACCTATGAAATCACTTCGCTATATCCGTAATTCGTTATAAACGTATAATAAATTCATTAAATTTATATAGCTGGGGATTCAAAATGACTTCGCTATATCCGTAAATTCACTATATCCGTGTTCGTACTAAACGAGTTTTACTGTACATGTTGTTAAATGTTGTGTAGTAAATAAAATACGTTCTTAAATATTTTATATAGTTTGTGCTGTTATAAAAACATTCAAGATTATTTATAATAGCATGGATACAAAAAGACTAACTCGACTTGATCTTCTTCCTTCCATGTGGAATACTGGACTGTCTAAGTCTTAGTCCAACTGACCCTGTTTTTTTTTTTTTAGCATTTTTAGGATCTTATTATACCTTGTTCCAATTTCTTAATCTTTCCTCTCACTCCAGCAAATTTTTCAAACAGTTATTTTTTCGATTTCTTCCTTAATTTCCGCAATTTTTTGTTTTCTGATAATGCTGCTGATTTTCGAACTGTTCTAAGCATTATAACAGCCTGACTTCCTTTGCTTTTCCTTGTCAATTCCTTTGATGTTGTCTTTTTAGGCGCCATCTTATTTTTTTAATACTACCAAGATAGATACACTCAAGTTGAACTCAATTTTCTTCATGTGTAGTAGAGTTTCTTTGTCGTTTTATCCTTTTTAAACCTTCACGTGTTTTTTGAAAAATTGATCTTTGTATTTTTTGCATTTTTCTTTGTCTCGCCCAATTGGTTTGACTTCTTTCTCAAGTAAAAAAGCAAATTCATTAGCACAGTCTAAGTCTTCTAAGATCCAAACGAATGACCACTGAATTTCACTCAGACCTCTGTCTACAGCAGCACTAGTCTACAGCAATTGCATTTAGGACTAGTGTAGATAAGGATAGAAAACATTGTTTCACCCCAAAGTCTTCATAGCAAGTAAATCTAACTCTTTGTTGTTTCATAAATTACCAGGTATTTGACCGTAGATTTCTTCATCAACATACCGCTTTATAACAATGCTAAGTGTAGAACTGGTCTGTATAACTTTTCGTTCCTGTAAATTCGGCTTGTACGTCAATTACTCTCTTTTATGCCTTTTATTTATGTTTAAGATAACTCAGAAACTACACATAGCAATGCGTTGACGATCCATTTTTGCATAATACTGGATTGACTGTGATTACCATTCTTTGGACGAATAATAACTCTTACCTCTACTCATCTGGGATTTTCTCTTCTTCCAATATCTTTTTAAACAGTCTAAACATGCAGTTATATTCAAAATTGTTGTCTTCCATTTTTCTGTACATCCACTTGTATTTAGAAATTGCTGCTGCATTTATATTGTACATGTATATGGATTTCGTAATGTTCACTCAATGTTCGCTCAGTAACGGGAGGTTTAACGATCAAAGATAAGCAGCAACTTTTCCTTTACCAATCGTTTGGTAGTTTGAAAGGAAGATCGTTTGTCTTTCGGATGACACCTTAAAAATTGAGACCCTATATGTCATGGCAAGGGTTGACACAATAAAAATCCTCACTAATCAATGGCCCCGAGTGCTGAGTTCAAGGTTTGAAGTCCTTCACCGTTGTATTACGTTTCTATTTGTGCGAGAAATTCTCTAACGGGATGTAAAACAATACATCTGCAATCAATCAATCAATCAATCAATCAACTTACGCACAAATTTGATCCAGGCCTACCCTGGGACAAATGAAATGTGTTCCTTTGGTGCTTATCAAGTTTTAAAATACTTTTTTGTATATTTGTTGAATCATTTGTTCAATCTTTCTTTCTGTTTTTCTAGCTCTACTGACATTTTCTATTTTTAATCTTTGACCGGTGCAATACATTTTGAAGAATATTTCTATCACTCTAAAAAGTACAAGATGAAACACTTGTAACAGGCAAAGTTTTGAGAGGGTTTATGGTCAATACACTGAAAATCAGTGTAAAATGTTAGCATATCAAATCATGTTTTTATAACTTCATTTGTCAAAAGAATTTATTATTAGTTGTATTTAAAGTTGTTCCTTAGGTCCAAAGGACTTATTTACCTGTGAACCAGAAGTCTAGGTTTTACAAAGATGTAATGTTCTGACGGATTTATTAAAAAAAGGGAAATTTCATATCTTTTAAAATAACAGAATATCATACAAATTTTATATTTTTGATAGATACGGCGGTTTTGACCACATTGCTTATACTTTAAAACTTACTCATCAAATTGATATTTTAACGAGAACTCCCTAGAAAAGATAAAAGTTTACCTGAATTTTCCATACTAGTAGTTGTCAGACAGATACTGTATCGTTTGTATCACGCACAGGGGCATCTTATCCACTCTGTTCTCTACTTCACATATAAAAATACACAAGGGAAGAATCGAAAGTAGCACACGATTTTTTCAAAAAACAACTTACTTTGAAAGGAACTAGCGCCTAGTACTTATCCAGGCTAAAATATTCCAGATATATATCGAAAATAGCTTTTATCCAACTAAAACCCCAGCTTTCTGCACAGTGTGAATCTCTACGCCCAAGAAAAGATAACTCACCCAGATGACAATAGGGTAGTACCCGAGGCCTTCCGAGTGCCATTGGAAGACTTCGGGCACTACCCTATTGTCATCTGGGTGAGTTATCTTTTCTTGGGCGTAGAGATTCACACTGTGCAGAAAGCTGGGGTTTTAGTTGGATAAAAGCTATTTTATGGATATATCGAATATTTTAGCCTATTATTTGCGCTAGTTCCTTTCAGGATTTGTGTAACTTTTTCAAGTAAGTTGTTTTTTGACTTTTTTTAAAAATCGTGTGCTACTTTCGATTCTTCCCTTGTGTATTTTTATATGTGAAGTAGAGAACAGAGTGGATAAGATGCCCCTGTGTATCACGTAGGTTTTCTCGTAAATAAGTTATTAAATAAAGATACCTTCGCTCGCTTGGACTCGTGGGTTTTCCGGGTCCTCCCTTTTCCTTCCACTGAAATAACAACCTCGCACTAAAATCCGCATAATTAAGGAACCATCTGAAAAAAAGAACTTCTAGAGCTTTCTTTCTCTCCTATGTATTACATATATGTGTCATCAGTTGAAGTTTGCTCTCTCGAACTCTATCACACTTACAAATGTACCATACACATGTAATAGTATATAAATTGTTCCCAACATATTTGGTCCGGAAAGTACAATCCGTCTCCACAGAATTTTAACTATTAATATAGATATAGATATAAAATTATCAAAAATATGTTAATATAAACTAGTACAGATGTATTTAACGGTCAAATAGAAAAGGGAATAAATTTAAAAAGCTTTGAACATTTAAAAACCTGTCAGTTTATCACTCAGTGATAACTAAATGACGATAAAATAATCCAATATGTTTATTTAAATGCATAATTCAGCAACATTCTACAATGGCTAACTTGACTAAAAATTTCAGTAGGATCCATGATTTGAAAAATCTTGTAGAAATTAACCAATAGAAAGCGAATGATAATATAGTGTTGTTGAAGTGTAAATCTTTGTCACTTAACATCAAAGCAAGATAATAACTGTTGAATACGAGTACATAAAACATTATACAACCAATATAGTGTGCCATTGTGTCAAAGGAAACAAGTACATTACAATTTAATGAGTTTGTGACGAACTTTCTTATCAATTAGATCTAAATAATTGTGGAGGGATTTAAAAAATTCCCCAAAGGTCTTACAGAATGCAAATAGAAATTTTGTTTCATCTTTTCACCAAGGCATAAAATGAAACAAATTGCTTAATTATTTTATACTTTGAACGTCAGTCCATTGTTTTGACTTTTTATATCTATTTTGGAAGGCTGTATTTGAACTATTTAAAATTTTTAAACAATCTTTAATAATGAAGTTACTATTATTCAATTGCCAAACCCAGTGGGATTGCTTTTCATTTTAACAATACCTTCTATTAAACATGGATTTCAATTGGAGTATGATGAAACGTAGCAAACTATCACTGTATGATAAATACTAATTGTCAAATATTAGTTTGAATAAACATATTAGATTATTTTCATATAATAAAAATAGAGAAGCCGTCGTTTGCTAATGAGTTAAATAGACATCCGTCAATCCAAAGATGTAATAAAAAGTGACAGTTATTTATTACTCGACACAATACTGTCATGTTATGATGAACGTTGATCACACACGATGCAGTCAACATGGAACTAATAATTACAAGTTATTCTCACTTTTGTTGCAACAATTATAAATTCATTAAAAAAAAAATACAATACATATTTCATAACTTCATCATAAACATATTTGTCCATGATAAATGGATTATTTCAACAAACTATGCTCCTACAAATGGATTTGCAAATGATACGCATGCTAAATTTCATATTGGTCAAAGGATAATTAAGTTACACTACAATTAAGGACGTAATTTTAATGTTTCATTTAGACAATAAAAAGTCTTTTAACCTTATATTCAAGTATTACGTGCACAGCAGTTTAAATTTCCCTTTGCTTAATATAAGGAATAGTGGTTTGAAATAACAACCTACGTAATGCTATTTTGGTACAAAATTGTCCCTTTGTTTTTTGTGGAGAAGACTATGGCACGCCGTCTAATCAAAACTTTTGTTGGTGACTAGAAACGATCACTGACTTCATTAGTTCTTACGTCATTGAAGGGTCGCGGTTTTGACAAAATCAACCAGGAAACCGGAATCTCTGGGGTATATATTGCTATTTATCATCCATTCATATACAGAAATATATTGAGCTAGTAAAAAAAGAAGAATGCTCGGGACAACTGTTTGGATATTTTTTCTTTTTCATCTTCCAGATACAATCTTGGCAAATAATAATGTGATTGGTACAGGTGTGTGTGTATGTGGAAAAAATATTATTTTCGTCATACAAATCAATTTGAGATACTTTTATTGTTTAAATTTAAATATTTCAAAAATACCGTAATCAATATCACATAAAGCCTTTGATCTTGAAATTTTATTGCATTGTATAATCTTTGAAATCCACCGCATTTTCAGATTGTGTAAAACCATTCGACATCTATTTCGCTATAGACGGATCAGACAGTATTTCTTATAAAGATTTCCAATTATTAAAGAAATCCATAGTTGATCTTGTGGACCAGCTAAATATTGGAGAAGGAAATGGCCGGATGGGTATGCTTGTTTACAGTAGTTCCTTAGCTACAATGGTGGAACCTTCCTTCGATAGAGACTATCTTAAAGAGCATGCCATGAATTTACCTCATCCTCAAGAGGGTACTAATACGGCTCTTGCAATTAGGACCATTACAGAAATATTTCAAGTGGCCAACAGAACTGGTGTGCCACAAATAGGAGTTGTCATTACTGATGGCAGATCAAAACCCCCCGGTGAGGCAGCGAGAGAGGCTAGAATAGCTAAAGACATAGGAATAAATATGTATACAGTTGGAGTAACAGATAACATAGATGTGGATGAACTCAAAGGCATCGCTTCGTCTAAAGAAAATGTACTTTCGGTTCAGTCGTTTGGCCAGTTAGCTTCCAGAATACAAGATGTTGTGCAGCTTGTGTGTCCAAGTAAGTTTATTTCACATACGATTTAAAATGCTCAACACACATACACCATTGTTCTTGAAAGATACATGTATTTAAAGTATATGAAAAGTGACCGTTGCATTGCGTAATTCTTGAGATTAATATAAAACTAATCTTCCACATCTAGCTACCACCACTACTACCACCACCACACCTGCACCACCAACCACAACCATCCCAACCACCACACCAGAGGGCGCCACTCCTCCTATGCCACCAACAATGGCGCCTTCAAAGGGACCATGTGATGATTGTAAGATGCTGAATGGCATCGGTTTCAACCCTCACCCTGATGACTGTGATAAATTCACACAATGTTATTTCGGATCAAATGGACAAGTCCGAATGGCTTACAGACAGTGTCCGTTTGGTCAATACTGGGATCAGAGTGTACTCACTTGTCGGCCATCAGAACAAGTTCCCTGTGAGAAAGGTATGATTCAGTTTTCATAACATGCCATGCTTTACAGAATGAATAAGCTTATTTTACGGAAATTACAAGAAACGATTAAATAATTTCCTTGATATGATTGCTATTTCATCACAATTCTTTTAATTATTTACAGATAAATGTGGTAAACCACGAATCACGTCGTATGCGTACAGTAATACAGGGAACTGTAGGGCTCATTGGGCTTGTAACTTCGGAAAGGCGACAGCGACGTGTTGTCTGGAGGGTTTCCGATACGTTCCATACGTTGGCTGCAAAAAAGACCCGAGATGTACTGACCCATGTCCACCAACTTTCCACCAAGAAGGTCCCTGTGACACTAGGATGATCTTTAATGAGCCTAGATATTTCGAACAATTTGTCAATGGCTTAGGATGGTTAAAAATGCCTTGTGCTCCTGGAACCCAGTATGATCCAAACACTTGTCAGTGTTCTCTGCATGCCTCCTTTTTACCTGGAAGAGGTAAGATTGTTTCTATATTTATGAAATGAATAATAGCAGTTTTTGAACCTGAGTATTTATGAAAACGTATCCTTTCATTAGGTGTTTGAATAAAGTTACTCGAACTGAAGTACATATATAATGTTATTTGAGAAAAAAATATGAAAATATAATCATGTAAGAGACAATAAAAAAATCGTTATATTGGTCTAAGTAACCATGGCCAAAGAATGATAGATCATAGGTGTAAAACTATATTTAAAAATATTTCAGAGTGCAAAGCAGAGCTATTCATACCATTTAGCAGTGATGCCAAGGATTATTCCGGAAAGAACATTTATGTGGAAAATCAAGGTGTCAGAATCATTGGAAACGGTTTGGGGTACTTCAACGGAAGCGCTCGTCTCATCATTAATCGCTTTGCTAACATCGACTTTTATACAGACTTAGTTGTCAAAATGAGATATTTAGACGACCCAAGGTCATCCGGACTTCATGCTTTGTTCAGTAATGGCGACTGCTGCGATAATCCAGCAACTATGATGTTACTGAAAAGTAGAGACAATCTTCACTTCATGGCAAAAACGGAAGTTGATATGAAGAATAAGACGATCGACCGAGTGACTACATTTCACCTTCCAGCTAAGGTAGGTTGTGTCTTATGTCCAGAGTTCTTCGTGAGTCGGTTTATTGTGGTGCCCTTGCCACTGCATAATTTCTTCAGCAACAATAATGAAATTTCATACATAATCTTCAGTAAAATTTTGTTTCACAGTCGACGGCGATCAGAAAATTGAGGATGCTTTTCTCTCTCTGAAATTTTTACGTAATTTTGCTCATAATTAGGTTTCATTGTCTACATTTACGTCATGTTACATTGTCTAGTTTCACTGTACATTATCAATTTTGTATCTTCTAGACCCTTGCAGGACATTGCGCACGAAGGAGCAAAGAAAAACTATGTGTTTTCACACTCCTATGAAACTGTTTAATCGTTAGCAATCAATTATGTTTATATTTGTCCCCCGCTTGAAAAATCAGTCCGTCCGTCCGTCCGTCTTTCTGTCTGTCTGTAACGCTTTCGTTTCCACACGATACGAGAACCCTTTGAGCTTTTGCAATGAAATTTAGCATAGCAACTCCCTATGGACTAAAGAAGACCCCTATTGATTTTGAGGTCAAAAGGTCAAAGGTCAAGGTCAAGGTCATAAATAAGCAAATTTCTGTTAAAACAATTTCCACACGATATCTCTAGAACCATTTGAGCTATTGCAATGAAATTTTACATAACAACTCCCTGTGGCCTAAAGAAGACCCCTATTGATTTTGAGGTCAAAAGGTCAAAGTTCAAGGTCGTAAATTTATACATTCTGTCTGTGTGTAACACTATTTGTTTTCTGATGCAATGTAATTTTATACCAAAACTCCCTACGTCTCTCGCCCCTCTGCGCCCCGTTTGTTATTAGTATTTATAGTATTACATGTCGCTATTTTTAGCGCAGGGGCATGAGGAGAGTTATTGCGTATAAAACAGGTTCTCGGCGGACTTTATGTTCTTATTACATCTATTAGAACTGTTTAATAAAGGCTAAATAAATCAAACACCATGGATTGTGTAACCGAACATGAAAACATGAATATATCATGCATATAATTGTTTTTGTGGTTATGTCGCTCGCTTCAAATGTGAAAGGTCCCGGGATCGAATCTCGGATGGACCGTTCTTTTTTTTTCCTTTTTTTTAAATACTTTTTTTTTTACTAAATGATAGTATTCAGCATGTGAAATGAAAAATTTATGAGGTTATAAAATCATCATTACAGTGTGATAAATATTCCATATGAAAAAATCTTCTATACACATAATAAAGAATAAGCAATCAAATCTTTATATGCATATTGACATACATGTATTTTATTTCCTTCAGTATACATGTATAATTTTAATAATTATTTTGAAGGTGAATTCTTGTTTTTTTAAATTGTTTTTGCGGTTATTCAAATATCGCATATATAGTACACATCCATTCATACAATGTAGAATGAAAGATACTTCTCCTCAAGTATTTAATTGTTTTGAAGGTGTCTTTTTACAGTTAAAAACGTACTGGTCCTCACTTTTTCATCAACTCGTATTTGTTATCAATGTAACACCCGTTAGAGTATTGAATTAATATACATTATGCGATGATTTTTTAGATATCTAACAATTTCAGCGCAAAAAATTAAATAAAAATGATAAATCTCACATCTCTATATTATATATTGCAGCGTGGAAATTGGAATGAAGTCTATTACATGCACGACACAAAATCTCTGGAGGGCAAAGTAAACGGTATAGGAATGGAAACTTGGGCATATGGACCCATCAAACGATCACAAGCTGCTTTACACATCGGCTACGGTAGAGGACTCCAGAACTTCAGGGGATACATGGATTACGTCACAGTGTTTCTTTGTAGACCTCGGTACCTATAGTGAAATCCAATCAATTTATAAACAGCTGTGATACAAATATTCTCTGCAATAAGTGACTTTTTATAATGTAGCTGTGAAGCTTTATACCTCTATTAAGAGTTTGTGCAATATTTATATGTATCTCAATCGTCTATGTTAAAACTTACATGCATTGTGTATTTTTTACAAGTAGTTTTTTTTAAAATCATATGACATTTTAGAGTAGTCCATATGTGTGTTTTCATGTTCTGTGCAATAATTTAAATCATTTACATTTTTGTATTTTAGATGTTCAAATATGCTTATTTATTATTTTGTAATAAAAAGTTGAAAACATTTTCGGTCTATTGTTATTTGTTCAATATACATGTATATGCAATTCTTGACATGATAGCAAGAAAGTCATAGTTTTCCATTAGAGTAGTTAGTAAAAAAAAGCATTCACACTAGGCCAGAACAGCGAACAAATGTACAATTTTGCCGAGCACTGGCTAGGAAAAAGTAGAAATTGGTTTATTATTGAATAGTTTAAATCCAAAAGTAGTCCTAAGACCAATCATGGCTTTGCTATTCTTGATAAGATGATTTTTAAAGAATTTTCCTATATATGTCTATGTAAAACTTTGATTGGCCATTGTGGCCCAGCCCTACCACCGGGGGTCATGATTTGAACAAACTTGAATCCTCACTACCTGAGGATGCTTCCATACCAATATGATCAATTATGGCTTTGTTATTCTTGAGAAGAAGATTTTTAAGGAATTTTCCTAAACATTTCTATGTAAAACTTTGGTCGGCCATTGTGGCCCCGCCCTACCCCCGCGGGTCATAATTTGAACAAACTTGAATCTACACTACCTGAAGATGCTTTCATATAAATATGATCAATTATGGCTTTGTTATTCTTGAGAAGAAGATTTTTAAAGAATTTTCCTATATATTTCTATGTAAAACTTTGGTCGGCCATTGTGGCCCCGCCCTACCCCCGGGGGTCATGATTTGAACAAACTTGAATCTACACTACCTGAGGATGCTTCCATATAAATATGATCAATTATGGCTTTTTTATTCTTGAGAAGAAGATTTTTAAAGAATTTTCCTATATATTTCTATGTAAAACTTTGGTCGGCCATTGTGGCCCCGTCCTACCCCCGGGAGTCATAATTTGAACAAATTTGAATCTACACTACCTGAGAATGCTTCCATATAAATATGAGCAATTATGGCTTTGTTATTCTTGAGAAGAGAATTTTTAAAGAATTTTCCTATATATTTCTATGTAAAACTTTGGTCGGCCATTGTGGCCCCGCCCTACCACCGGGAGTCACAATTTGAACAAATTTGAATCTACACTACCTGAGGATGCTTCCGTATAAATATGAGCAATTATGGCGTTGTTATTCTTGAGAAGAAGATTTTTAAAGAATTTTCCTATATATTTCTATGTAAAACTTTGGTCGGCCATTGTGGCCCCGTCCTACCCCCGGGGGTCATGTGAACAAACTTGAATCTACACTACCTGAGGATGTTTCCATATAAATATGATCAATTATGGCTTTGTTATTCTTGAGAAGAAGATTTTTAAAGAATTTTCCTATATATTTCTATGTAAAACTTTGGTCGGCCATTGTGGCCCCGCCCTACCCCAGGGGGTCATGATTTGAACAAACTTGAATCTACACTACCTGAGGATGTTTTCCCATAAGTTTCATCTTTCCTGGTACAGTGGTTCTTGAGAAGAAGATTTTTAAAACATACCACCAAATTTTCATTAATTCCCAATTATCTCCCCTTGAATGAGAGCGTGGCCCTTTATTTGAACAAAATTAAATCCCCTTTACCCAAGAATGCTTTGTGGCAAGTTTGGTTGAAATTGGCCGAGCGGTTCTTGAGAAGAAGTCGAAAATGTAAAAAGTTTACAACGACGACGACAACGACGACGACAGACAACGGACAAATTGTGATTAAAAAAGCTCACTTGAGCCTTTGGCTCAGGTGAGCTAAAAAGTCATCACTTGGATCTTATGTATTTGTTAAAAGGCTCAGGTGGGTTATACTGGTGAACAGGGAATGCCTACTTCTCCTATTCACCTGATCCTACCTCAGGAATTTCTTGTTGTTTGTGTTTATACTCTCATAAAAGATTTGTTGATACATGTAAATATTTTAGATCTGTCACTGTTCCCTATGTTCATCTTTTCAACATATGACTTAAAATGGCTTCAAAGGAAAAATTCACGTCCACAAACATAACTTGACTTAATGCTCCTAAAGAGATTATGCGTTACTCCCTATTATGGCTTGATTTCTCTGTAGCTACACACTTTCATATTATGTAAAAATATTTTAAAAATATATGTTCAAATTTCAATGCAATGTCATTCTTATATGGATATTAGATATAGAGTTATTTACAGTAACAATAAAACTGCAAATCATTGTAATTTTACATTTGTTGAATTCTGTCTCTGGGGTATTGTACCAAGACAAGGTCTATAATTACCAATTTCCTGTCAACCCCTATTGGTAAATAATCATAATGGCTTTATGTCGATAAAATTAAACTTTTAACTAGCAAACGCTAGAATATATTTCAGAACTATGAAACAAGGCTCTCATAGTTATCTATTGATTAGTACTTTATAACCATAGCTACTATACAGATATAGAATTTTAATGATGTAAAATGATCTTTGTTCAAATTAATTAATTGTAAGTCAAAGTAGGATAAAACAGATAGGGAAGTAGTGATAAAACCTCCGCCGCGTCATCAGTCAGTAAAATGAGTTTGAAGAGGAGAATGGAAGCAAAAATTACGATTTTTTCCGTAGTTTTTCTGTCAAGCTAAACAAAGCTTCCACTTCACCTTTGGATTTGTCAAATTTTCAACAAGATGTCAAACGGTTGTTTCTTGGAAAGTTGGACCGAGGTCTTATTATTGTGGTTTTCTCTGCGGATAGGAAACTTTGGTATTGGAACTGGATTAAGCATAAGAAATGAAAGTTATTATAAGTTAGAAGGGGATTTTTCTCATCTTTTGAATCCTTCTACATTTTTGGGATCTTTCACAGCTGTTTACGGCGGTGTTCTTTGTAGCGGCGATAAAGACTGCAAAAGCTTCTTATTTAACGGTAAAACTAAACAGGTTCAGTTGTTAACAACCATCGAAAGTCCAGGCGCTCCACCTGGAAATGGCAATGACTGGAGGTATTTTATTAAGAGAACTGGTAAGTTTTACAATTTTTATTTCTTACTATCAAATTATTGTTTTTAATATTAAATTTAAATAATTAAAAAGGTACATGTAAATGCAAAGCCAAAATTCCAAAGTACATCATGTTCTATATTGTTACATATATTATGAATTATTGAATAAGTTATTCTTCTAATTAATCTCTATGGAAGAAAAAAGTATTACTCATGATTGCAATTAATTTTTTTCTTTTAAAAAAAAAAATGAACATAATCAGAAGTCATTAAAAATAGTCTCCTTCTTTTTCAACCACTTAATGATAAAGAGAAACTGTATAGCACAAAGATATAATGCATTTCCAATGCATTTCCTACTAACTGTTAAAAAAATTAGAAGAATACAATTCTAAATTTCTTTTTTGAAATTGATGACAGTAAAAATGTAAACACTTTAACAATGTACATGTAAGGTGTTCCTTGCAAGAAGGTTATACACATTTTTGAAGGGATAAAATCAAATACATTAGACATGCACACAAATTAATGATATATTTTTCTTTCACACACACATTGGTCAAATAATTTTGTTGGAGTTGTTTTACCAATGAAACAAAATTTTTCTTAATTGGTTTTCCTAAAATATATCTGGATTCTTTGATGTTCATGTTTTGTTTGATTTTCATAATTTGCTAGGATGTTTAAAGTTAATTAACCTTTCGTAGTTTAAAATAACTTTCTGTTTGAAAACAAATTAACTTTTAAAAAAGATAAATCAAAAGATGGAGAACTGGAAACCTGGCCCAGTACATTCAGTTATTTACTGATTGGCTGTGTGTTTTTTTTAAATTTCCTTTTTTTTTTTTTACATTTCCATCTCAGTGAGCTTTGGTTGCATTTCAACGTTATCGGTGTATAAAAATTACACCTTAGATGTGTTAAACAACCTATTGTTATGTGAATGTCAAAGTGAAAAAAATAACTTTCTCAAAAGTCAATTAAACATTGAAGACAAATTAACATTTTTTTTTTCAGTTGTTCATATAAAAGGTTATTTAAAAATTTTCTACTACAGTGCCCACTGTCCAATCCGACCACTGTGCAATCCGGCACACTGGCACTTCCGACGTAAATCTTTATTCCCAAAAATATCTTTATATTACATAGAAAAAGTTATTTATTGGTTAAACACAGTATTAATTGCATTGCAGTTTCACCTGTGTTATCCGACATAATTACACGGCTGGTTAAACCCCATTGAAGCCTTTGTTTACACTGTATGACACTTTTATGAGGGGATTTCAACATTCATCTGTGTTCTTGGCACATAAAAATGTTTTAATACAGTTATGATGATGTGTTAAATTACAATGTTATCGATAATTATAATTGTTTGCAATTTTTTCCAAGGTTAGATTTTAATTATTTAACTATTAGCTTGTGTGTGACAATTTGTTTGGTGAAATGCATCAAAGTAACAGGACCATTGATTTGAGAATTGTCACAAACAGTATGAAATACATAACCATATTAAAGAAACAAATAAAACAAAAAAATTTTTTGCTGAATATAACATACTATTTATCCTGGGGGAAATAAATTACGGAATAAAGTCAGGCATTTAGTCTACTTCCGTTTCCAAAATGGCGGCCATCGAAGAAGGAATGTGAACATGTGCTGATTAAAGATGGCAATAACTATTAAAAAAACAATTTTTATAAGTCATTTTATTAAAAAAATGTTATCACAATAAATTAAAAAGTTTTTTTTTTCAGGTAAAGTGTTCATATAAAAGGTTGAAATTTAAAAATTTTCATGGACTTGAAATGTGACAGAAATAGCCAACACTGTAATTTTTAATCCGACATAAATTTAATTTCCCATGGCACTATTTATTACAAACGACTGAATTTTTTAAAATAGACTATTTATTAGCTACGTAATAAAACCTTTCCTTAGGTAGTATTTTGGCTGCTGACTTCTTTCATCCCTATTGTTAGATTTTTATGTTTATACTGATATTGACTACGAAATGACCTGTCTATCTTATCAACACATGGTTTGACTAGTTGACAAGGGATGCTCTCTCCCCCTAACACCTGATCTCACGTCTTGGATTTCCAGGTGTCCCATGTTTTTACCCTTTTCATAGTTTTGTATTATTTATAAATTTTATTTGGATGTATTTGATTATTTTGTTTTTGAGAAGTAAAATGGTTCACATGTATTAAGTTTTGAAATGATTGTTTTTTGACTTTCGTTTGTTTTCTATTATGTAATAAAAAACTGAAATTTAGAATATTTTGATACGTAAGCCTTCGAGAATTCATTTAGAAAAAAATATAAACTAATATACGAAGGCATATTTTTAATTCCAGCCGACATTATGTTGATCTTCTACACATAATGAAAAATGTTAAGTTCTTAATCTCGTGAAAATGGAAAGAAAATTGGTTAATTTAGATGCAGTATGGCGACGTCAAGAAGATTCCAATTAAAAGATGGAACTCTTTGCACTCTTAATCTTCAGTAATCAGATTTAACTTCATTTAATACAAAAATCTTTAATTTCGTTGTACTTGCTTTTTGCAAGTTGCCATATAGGTTAGGATAAAAGAATATTCATGGATGCTCATCTTCTTTTTAATATGTTTAAGCTTGATACATCAGCATACCTTTTAAAGTAATGAGACTATTATCAGATTATATTTTATGCCCCTTGAGATTCAGTGGGATTAACACGGCTCTTTTTTTAATAAAAACTTACCCTTGCTCACAACTTTTGATTTATTGGAGTTATGCATATTGCTGTCTTAATTCACATGTTTATTCTTTTTGACAAATCTATTTTTTGTGTACGAACATATTTGACATCCATGATTGTTTACGTGACATTCGTTTTCTATAGCAAAAGTCACGCCTTTTAAAAGTTAAAAGACAAATTTTTGTGACATTTTTTGCCTGTAGTATCATATATATTGATCGGTTGACCTTGACGTAATTTTGAAAACCTTTTAAATTCGCTACCCATAACTTGGAGGTTGTTCTCTTTTATTTTAACTTTAACATTGGCTTTAACTTTTAAACAACCGGTGCAATGGCTTAAATATTCAACAAGTGTATTTTTGTTACAAGATATTTCATAGGTACAAACAATTTTTGACCCCTAAGCTTGATCTTAAGTTTAAGTTGCATTTGAAAAACATTAACGTTGCATTTAACTTTCATACGGGGGCTTCAGTGTACACAAACATATCTTGTTTTAAAATGATATTAATTATTTAGCAGGCATCCAACCTAAATTTATACCTAACACTCAAATTTACAAAATCATGTACTAAAAAAAATGGATAAAATCGATATTTAATTTTAGAGCCTCGAGTATGTGAAGCAGGATGGGAGAAATTTGGAGAGTCTTGCTATTTGTTCAGTCTCTCGTATGGCACTTGGAATAACGGAAAAGTATAATCTATTCATTCCTTATTCATCGTTCTTTATTGTTATTAGTCAAAAATATTCATGCCTCATTTTGTACAAATATAGTTCATCAATAATCAGATAATTGTTAAGAATCAATAATTAAAATTAACGAAAATTACAGTTTGAAATACCAGTGAAAAGAATATTGTTTTTCTTTGTTTTATTAAGAGTCAATTTCGAAATAATATTTTGTTTCAAACAGTTCCTTACTTAAATATTAATATTATTTTATTTTGACAGACTTTTTGTGAGGGAGAGGGAGGGTATTTAGTTGAAATAACGAGCTTGGAGGAGGATACTTTTATCAGAGATTATGTCAGAAACAGGGGATTGATGGGTAATTAAAATACATAAATCTTCTTTTTATCTAACATAGAATTTAATGGATGAAATAATTAAGGAAAAATGATATATACACTTTTACAATTTGCTATTCCGTTTATTTTAAGCACAGATTGAATTTTAGGGAAAGTTTTTTTTTCATTTGAATTTGTATTCTGTTGTTTTAACACGCTAAAAAGAATAAAGTTTTAGTGCGTTATTTAACTCTAGGCCTTTTGACGCCTTTTAAGGTTGAGAGACACCCTTTATCCATGTTGTTAAAATTTGGCTATTAAGAAAAGTCCAATGTTTAAGCTTATCTATTTCGATCAGCAAATTTATAAAATAAAATTGGATAATGTTGTATATTTTTAAATATATTGGCTGACAAATGGTCAATTAAAAAAGAAATCTTCGTAAAAGATGATTTCATGATTTGATAATAAAATTGAAAAAACTGAAACACATTTTTTTTCTATAGGATATGCGATGCAAATTAAATGAAGAGGAAACTCGTAATATATTACTTATTTTAACCCTAACAATTTTAAAATTCTACAAAAATTGGTTTAAAGAACCGTGTTTAAAATATTTGCATTAAACATAGTTGAATTCAAATGATTAACATTCATACATATAATGAAAAAATTTCCAATATGTTCATGGGGTTTGAAATTAGCAAAAAAAAAAAAAAATCTCATAGGTACAAAAATAAATTTACAACTATAGCAGTTACAAAGTCTTTTGCTAAAGAATATATAGTATTAAAATAGATTAAACCCTATAACATTTAAAATACATATACACATTACGACCCCCCCCCCCCCGAAAAAAAAACAACAAAAAACAACAAAAACAATGGTTTTAGTGTTGTTTTAAAATTGATTTTCTTTGGAATACCTACATAAATCATGTATAAATAGGAATATTCTGCTTCAACATGAATCTGAGGAAATCAAGCATACAAAATTTATCATATTTTAACTTACATTATCGTTATAGCTTTTGAAACCCGCGACAGTTGGATCGGAGCAACGGATGTAGCAGTAGAGGGTTCCTTCATTTGGTCCGGAAGTGGACAACCCATCACGTACAATAACTATGGACCTAATAACCCGGATAATAGCGGCGGGAATCAACATTGTCTTATACTGTACCAACCTTCAGACTACAAGTGGCACGATACACAGTGCACAAACCAAAACTCTTTTATTTGTGAAAAATAATCACTCGTTTAAGAACAATTTTTAAATATTTTTTTAAAAAGCTCGCTTACAAAAAACAAAACATTTTAATTAAAGAGAAATGACCCCATTATCAATGTGGAACATTCATTGCTTTAATGGCTGACTTATGTGTGTTATTTTTTTTATTTCTTTATAAAAAAAATATAACCATGATATTTACAGTTTACTTCACGATGATTTTGAAGTTGATGACTTCAAAAACAAACGAGTTATCTTTCCTAGAGTTTAATTACACCTTAATAGTTACATTATGTCATTATATCAGTGGTATACTGGATTTTAAATGAATTCAATTAAACGTTTGTCTTGTTGGCAATCCTCAAGTCTTGTTCACATTAAATACAAAGTAATGAATGTTAAAGGAATCTCAACGATTCTTATAGGCAGTAGTTTAGAATTCGAAGGTCTTCTACTACTTTTTAAAACAGAACATATGTTTGTTACATATGTATATACGCACTGAATTGCTGACGAATTTTCCGTTATTTCCCAATCATGACAAAGAGTACACGGTGGGTGTAACCGGTCGGCAGGGGATGCTCACTGCTCGATGACACCTGATCCAACCTCTGATGTTTAGGATGTCCGTGTCTGCTCTGCTCCTATTTTCTATTGCTTAATGTACTTTTGATCTTGAATACTGTTCATTATCTCTTTTTATTTCATGTATAAAATGAATATGATTTATTTGATATGCATTCTGTTCGTTAATGTTTTATCTATATTTCCTGGGTAAGTGATCAAATGCAGTTCAATAGCAAAGATTCTATTGATCCTATACTGACCTTTCTTGCCAAGAAACGTTGCATCTCGTGATGCCAGTTTCTTTATATGTTTCGGATGAGGGTTTTTAAATTCTTTTTTCTCGGAATGAATAAATAGATGAGCTTATTTAGAGTACCTTACTTTTCAAATTCACATAAATGTATTCTAAAATGCTTTATTAAATTAAATCATTCAATATAATTTGTACAGCAAAAAGTACTTTTTTAGAACTATCAATGCGTTGTAAATTTCATTTTTTTAATGAAATAAAATGTCAGGATTTCAAGATTCTGTTCCATTGTCTTGTCATTTCTTCTTCGGCAACATTTTGAAGTTTTTGTAGCATTAACCATGCACTATCAGCACCAAGTCGAGTATATTCATTATCTGGTTGTTTCTGGAATTCACTTTCTCCAACAACAATATATTGGCACAAGCCAACCAGAATACAGTATGGCAATAATTGTAAATCTTTATCAGAAATATGACAGAATTCTTTGTATCCATTCAGAAAATGTCCTCCAATATCGATACTATCAACATCTTCGACATCAACCATTAAATCCCTTATGATCATGGCAACTTCAAATAAATAAGGAGAATACGCTATGTCATTGAAGTCTATTAGTCCAAACTTGGTTTCCCTCTTAGTATTATCCTCAGCGTCATATATTGGATGTAAATTTCCATCTTTGTAATTTACAATGATATTAAGATCATGAATATCATTATGAATAATGCCTGAAAAATAAAAAAAAATATTTTAATTATTCTTCCTAGAAATATTTACAAATAATTAATAATACATTTTTTATTCAGTAAATTATGCGGTGTTCTACAATATCAACATTCACAAACTTTGTTATCTGTGTAATAATGGACAAATATTATCCTAAATTTTCCAATTTTTTTTTTTTTGATAAACACTACAAAATATTTACCTTGTTAATTTCTTGGTAATACCTGTGGTATGTATATTTCTCTATTGAAACACAACTGAAAGGTCATATGTCAACCTGTATGTATGTGAGTGGCGTATAAATACACCGAAGAAAAAATAGATGTTTTGTTTAATTGTTTACTAAGTACTACAGTAATTAGATTTGACATATCTTTTTACAAACAAAATAAATAATGAATTATCTTCGTAACAAAAGCAAGTTCCTAACGCAACGCTGTCCACTATGAGCAAGGCCGAGAACTCAACTTCCGTGAACAGCCTTTCTGAAGCACGTGGAGAAATCGGCACAGCCACACTCCATCATCTAATACAGACATCGTTCCTCAGTCATTACCATCCGACTTCGTAAGCAACTCAACTTCCTACAATGTATATTGGAAAATTGGAAGACTAAACAAAATCATGACTGAGTATGGTAACAGTCCACACAAATCGGTTTTCTGACCTACTCCCGTTTCATCAACTGCAACATTACATTCAATATGGCGGCGGAGAAATGGCCTAGGGCCTATACACGTGTTTGTGCTTCCGACAACCTAAATCTAGGTCCCATATGTAATTTACGTTAACAAGATTGCTTTGATCATAATTTAAAATTCTTTTGTTGTTTATTTCATAAAAGTTTATATTTGACTACACAATCATTAGAAATTTCCTGTTTTTATTGTCTACAATTTTATATAAAATTTGACGATAATGGGGCGTGGCAAATATGAAATATAAATTTACGGAAATCAGTTTCATGCATTTCAAATCTACTATCATCAATAACATAATATTTTTTTCTTTTTTAAGATTGTTGAAATTTCATAGTAAAAATAAAAATATATATTCACATTGCGTAGGTTTTTTATGGCAGGGACATTTACCTTTAAGGATTCATGGAGTTTTCCGGTAAAGCATAACTCTTTGATCATACGTTTACTGTCAATCTTGTGTAAACAATTCTTCAAAGGTTTTCCAGGAACACTCTGAGAACTATAGACAGTGATTCCTTGAATAGCTGATGAATATCACTATATTTTAGAAGTCAATTTTTTTTCAGAATGCAGAAAATAATATATACCTAGTAAATATTGTAACAGACCAACTTTTTTTTTCAAATTCTCAGAATTTTCGTCATCTGTTGACTCCAAAGTACTAATTAAACTATGCAGTTATATACATAAATTGAGTACATGTATATAACAAGGTAATTGAAAATTATTTTTGTTAATTATAATATCAATGTATTTCCGCAATTGGTGTTCCAAAAATCAAATGGTGTTAAATACCAATAAAAAAAAAACATGGTAGAAATAACGAAAGAAAATCGCATTTTAAATTTACATGCTTTTTATATGCTTCAAACAAATTAATTGAAAATGTTCCATATCATGAAAAACTTCTGGGACCTGTCCTTTGTTTTCAGTAAATTGTACGATTATAATATGTTGACTGATTTAGCATTTTTTTGACATATAAATTATATACGTTGTATTGCAAAATTAAAAAATTTGTTCCCTTACACACAAGAAAACTATTCAATAATGCTATTCAATGTAAACTCGCCATGTATACAACAGTTTATACCAGCATAATTTGGGGTAATGACACACTTGGCTGTGAGTTTTCAAATTTTAAAAAATATCCTTGCATTATTTTGGCTTATGTGTGATTTTTTTCACTACCATTATTCGAAAAACTTTTGTACAGATTCTGACAAGGATATATATAATATATACAGTGTACAAGTAACACGCACATGTTTTACTTTTATATATAAAGACAACTTTTAAAACTTAAAATTTTCTTCTAATTAGTCATTATTGGTATGTTTTTCTTTTACCGAAATATCGAACAAATCAATTTAAAAATTCTTTTCATTAAGTTTTTATGAGAACAAACTAAAATACGTTTTTCACAGAATTTACACACATTTTAAAAATGTAGAAAAATTCATAATAACATCCAAATTTTTAAATCTGTGAAATTTATGTACATTGTAATTTTTTTTAGGATTTTGTCATGTTGTATTAAATTATTATTGTACAATGATTTCATAACTTTTTAAGATGAACATTATCATAAAAATCCTTAGTGCATTTTGCACTAATCGGGTCACTACATTTATAAATTATAAAGTATTATTACTTATTATTATGTGTTATTATTTCACGTGTAAAAATCCTTATATATTGTTTTTTGTATATATTTCATATCTATATAATGTTTTGAATTTGAATTTTGAACAAACCTTTCTGCAGTTCTTTAAACAACGGCATTACATTGTCTTCAAATTTCTGAAGTATTTTCAGAATAATATCGTCTCTTTCTTCAGAAGAAATCTGCTGAGAATGAATAGAGTTGCTTACAATGTATATTGGAAAATTGGAAGACTAAACAAAATCATGACTGAGTATTGTAAGAGTTTAATATGTTTTTCATTTATGGTATATTTTCCATTCCAGCTCATTTCCCCCAGGAAACAACAACCTTAGATTTTTTAAATCGATGTACATACAGCAACTTTTGAAAGACTGAGAACATAAAGCAAATCTCATAAAGCCATGATTTATCTTACTTTGATGTCCTTTAACAAAGTTCGTAGGCATGTAGAATTTTCTAAAATCCAAGGGTCGTTTGGTCGAGATTCAAGAGAAATTTCCTTTGTAATTGTCTACAATTAATCATAAAATATAAGCTGATAATCCGAACAAATATAAAATATAAATTTACGGGAAATCAGTTTCTTGAAAATTGTAACAACGTTTCTCTCAACATCAATAACATAATCATCTTTATTTCTATTAAAATTTCACAGTAAATTATGTCGGGACCATGAAATATTTACATAGCGTAGATTTTTTATTCTGTCATATCCACCTTTAAAGATTTATGGAGTTTTCCGGTAAAGCCTCCCAACTCTTTGATCATACGTTTACTGTCAATCTTATGTAAACAATTCTTCAAAGGTTTTCCAGGAATGAATGAGAACAGTCGAATTACAAACTGACCATCATCTATGAGGAAAAATGCCTTTTTTGTTTCATAAAACTAGCAAAATATATGTTATGTACATCATATACATGTAATCATGGGATAATATATGCATAATATACATTCTGCTTCTAATGTTTATTTTAATTTAAAAAATATTTTTGTATTTTAATTGGACCTAAATATTTAATACTATCCCTTTTTTGGATGAACATGTTCTTTACGTATGCATCACCTTACTTCGTATTACATTTAAATTTATTACATTACCAGATTACCTGTTTCATGAAACCATTTATCGTCAGGAAAGGATAGGCATAGCGTGCAGATAAACCCATCATCCTTCAGATGTTCCATAACCTTCCTCTCCTTTTCTGCTTTCTGTTGGCAAAAATTACGGCGATGAGAAAGTTTAACCATTGCCTGCATTTCTTCATATAAACGTGACCCACAGGAGTTCTCGTACTTAACAAAAAAATTGCTGTCCTCAAAGGAATCCAGACGATCAATATTGTGAACTTTCCATCCACATTTCACTTGTAATATGCGTTTTAATTCTTGATTCGATAATTCTGGTCGACGTTTATCCATTTTATATTATTTTTTTGTAAACTTTAGATAAAAAGTAATCTGGAACCATAACCTTTTCGTCCCTTCTTGATATTAAGCTACGGCGTCGCATACAAGAAATAAAGGTAAAGTAAGGTACTGAGAGGAAACGATACCCCCGGAAAAGTTCATGTTTTGTTCTGAAAGACCCGATATAAGGGTTAGATCAAAACGTAAAATAGGATGTGCACAATGGCATTATGTTATAAAGAATCTGTGAAAGTATCATTAAATTTTATTCAGTGATATAGGACTAGTTGCAGGAAAGACATTTTTTTTAAAGAAATCGTTTTAAAAAAACTAAAGTTCTTTTATAATAGTTCTATAAAATCCTTATTCTTCCTGAGAAATGAAAATTAAAGACGATCATGAGAATAAACGATACACTGGAAATGAATTTTTTTTATTGTTAATCTAATCTCAAAGCTTTTCGCAATGACTGTTTATTCCATAAACACTTTATTATTGAAAATGTACAGAATTAAGCAAAAACTTAAAATAAATCGACAATGGAATCTAGCGAAAATGATGGGATTACACAATGAAGATAAGGAAAATCTATACCTCTTTTATTTTTTTTGATATGATTTGATGGCACAATTTAATCAGATTGAAGTTGATATATATTCTTTCAATTTCAGATAACTGAGACGATATGGAAGACGTTTAAGGATTCTTTTACTCGACCCCTTAAACAAATGGACCAGGGGTTGATGGAAAAATCATTTTTTTTTTTGTTTAATGAAACTTCAGGAGACATAATGATGCTTGTATATATGTAAAAATTAAAATCTATATTTTATATACGGGGTCGTGACCCCCGTGTATTGATTGGGTACACAGATTTGATATGAAAACAAATGTCTAACTGGTATGAAACACATCAGTCAAAGTACGACCAAGTAATGTTATATTTTTTATCAAGCTTATCATAACGACCATAGAAACACTGACTTTAACTGGCGTGGCTATAATTTCTGTAAAAATCAACTTGTCAGTAGTATGTATTTTGTTTAAACTTTGACAATGTCAAAGACAAGTGTAATACTTAAATAGACATACACTATACCTGCCGGTGAAAACAGTAATTTCTTAAATAAGAAAATTGACTGTAAAAAAAACTGACCATCTCGTTTGTCATACTAGCAGGTTGTTGACCTTTATCATCTACGGTCAGGAAAAGATCAAAATATGAAACAGAGTTGACAGACTCGATGTCATCTTTTTCGAGTTTTCTGGGAAATATCAACATACATGTTAATAGAAGTCACTCTTGTTAATTGATAAAACTTTGTGTATATCTCTGTACGTCTTGTTGACGGTCATAGCAAGTGCTGCATCTCATGTAGAAGGTTTTTGATCAATCCTCCTCGAAGGTATATAGAGAGTCAGGTCAGCTTAAAAAGGAGTGTAATTAGAGTCCAGCGGAATATTTCCAACAATACATATATGTAGGAAGATTGATCTCCGAAAAGTACATAGATGTTACCATTGACGAGCTTCAGTATCCATTTAATATCAACCTTAGACGTGTTTGTATGTGTTTGTAGATTCAGAATTATGTATAATATTTGCTGGTGACCGATCACCAAGTTTTGAAGAATTTCACTTTTAGAAATTTACGAAAGAAAAAAAGAAAGAAACTCAAATGAAGAATAAAAACCACGGTCAAAACACAGCTAAAATAATAGGCCTTTACCGATTGACATTTATATCTCACTACGGAGATACATACATTAGAGTGTATTTGAAAAGCAAATTTATTGCTTCCAAGGTCAAAAAGACAATGTCAAAGACAAGTTTAAATTAAATTGAAGATACAAATTGACTTGTATTTTAATATACATTTAAAGAGTTGATGATGCCCCGAACAAGGCCATCATCCTGTTGATACTACACAGAAATATTTCAAACCGAGATCTGTCATTGGTACTTATTAAGAACATAGTTTACTGAAAGGTTTTGGTATAGAAAATTTTACTGCAAATACACAAAAAATGAAGACCTAAAATAAACCAAAATTATTCTAATTAATCCATTTGTATATGTAGCCAAATTTAAACCATAAACAGTTAAAAAAAGTATAAAGAATTCCAAAGGGGGTATAATTTTAGGAGTAAATAATATCGATACTCTCTCTACCTTTCTCTCTTTATGTGAGAGAGATCTTATAATAGAACCGAAATATTAATCTGCAATGTTATTTGCTCATGCTTAGACAAATTTTTGTGTACTTTAACAAACTTATGTTTTACTCTATCAAAAAATAATTTTGTCAAAGTGATATTTATAGATAATTCTTTATGTTGTTGTTTTGAACGATGAGAATGTAACATATTTTTTTGCAAATTTGTTTTAATAGAATTTCAAATTCGTTTCAATTCTTAGTAAATACAAAATTGTTTTAGCATGAAGCTCTCAATCTTTATGTTATTTAGAGAGATGAATTAACCTGTAATTCTTTATATCACACCTATTTCCCTGTTTTGTGGTTATTCTTACTTATATAACATTGCTTTTAGTGAAATAAGAAATTTAAATATTGTTAGAAGAACTATTTGTATCTTATCTGTTTTTAATAATTAGGTCATTAAATTGCTTAACGGTTAAAAAGTCAGTATGAATTAATCTTTATATAATAAAGTGTTTATCCTCTTGCATATATCAAGAAATGTCCGAAATCCATTTTAAATTATCATGAAATAAAATATTGATACATAAATATATAAATTCATATAAAAAAACTGGTTTACCTGACAAACTTTAAGACAACATGAATCTATCAAGATCTAAATTTTGCGTTTCGTCGAAAAACATGTTTTCCGAAATGGTTCGAAATTCCAAATTATATCATGTCTTTGTATATAAATAAAATTGAAAAAAAATTAAAAACAGACATAGAAATACAGAGAATTCTTTACAGTAAACACGGAAATAAAAATCCTTTGTTATTTTTTCTTCTTTGTGAATGTTCGAAGACATTATTCATTTCCACGGTTTTGTTAAGTCAACATATTTAAATTTTGTATATGATATATTAAATCTTATAATCTAATTATTTTATTTACTTTTTGTTATCAATTGGACTTTATGAAGAACATGTCTTTTTCAAATATTTCTATCAATTTAGGATATTTGTTTGGTTTAAGAAGGTCTATGGAGTCTTAAACGCATTTTCAGCTAAGTTATAGGAGTTTTCAACTAAGTTATTATATAGATAAACTCCATTTTAAAGATTATAACCTTTTTTTCAAACCGTTTTTCCAAATCATAACAAGAGTACATGGCAAGTGTGACTGGTCAACAGGAGACGCTCTCTCCTCCATGACACCTGATCTCATCTCTAGTGTAATAAGAGGTTCACTATTCTTCTGACTTCTATTGTTTAAAGTCGCCCGCGTGGCGCAGTGGTTAGAGCGTCTGCTCTAGAGTCGCGAAGTAAGGAGTGGATCCTTACGTCGCGGGTTTGAATCCCACTGTGGGACGTGGATACCAGTCCTTCGGATAAGATCGTATAAACCGAGGTCCCGTGTCGCAGTAGGTGCTGGCACTAAAAAGATCCCTCACTGCTCAATGGCCCTAAGTGCCGAGTAAAGGACAAAATTTGTAGCTCTGGTGGCCATAAGTGGTGGCGTCTCCATATGAGTGAAAAATTCTCAAGATGGATGTTAAACAACATTCAATCAATCAATGAATCAATAATCTATTGTTTAAATGGACATTAATACGCTAGTGTTGTTCGTTATCTTCATACCGGGGTATTTCATTCATATATACATATCATCTGAAGGACTGAATCCCAAAATATCAATAGGTATTCATTTCATTAAGTTCGACCTTTTCAATAAAAATTGAACTCGTAAATTTACTTACCCATTCTTTGGTCATTTGCACAATCATTTTGTTAAAAACATATTGATTGTACACAAAAGTACTCTGAAGTAGATATTAAAAAGGTGCTTGAGTTTCTGATTGACAATATCTATTTTGTTTTTGGAGACACGGACTTCCAACAATCTATTGGAATCCCAATGGGTATCAATTGCTCCCCGTTATGACCTAGTTTTGTATTTATATGAAGCAGACTTTGTCCAAAATCTTACATTCGAAAAGAAAAAAAAAACACTTGTTATTGCCTTCAACTCGAACATTTAGATATATCGACGACATATTGTCAATTAACAATAGTTATTTCCATTCTTATGTAGATACGATATATCCCGGTGAGCTTGATAGAAAAGATACCACAGCGTCTGACACATCTGTTTCATATTTGGATATTTAACTTGAAAAAAGACGTTAATGGAAATCTAACAACCATGATAAACGTGATAACTTTTACTATTCAATCATCAACTTTCCTTACTTATGCAGCATTATACCTTCATCACCTGGATACGGTGATTATATTTTTCAGTTGATTCGATACGCAAGGACATGCTCTTCGTAAGTAATATTACTAAAACGACTTTAATTATTGACAATCAAGTTAATGAAACAAGAATATCAGCAGTCTCGTTTAAAGTCAACATTTCGTAAGCTCTACATGGTAGATACAATGACCTTGTCAGCAAATACAATTACTTGTATCATTGAATGAAATGTTGACTGATGTTTTTCATATTAATTGTTAGGCCATTATTTTATTTAAATTGACGACAGGTTATATCCCGATCATGACAAGGAACACAAGGTGGGAGTGACCGGTCGGCAGGGGATGCTCACTCCTCCATGGCACCTGATCCCACCTCTGATGTTTTGGATGTCCGTGTTTGCTCTGCTCCTATTTTGTATTGTTTTATGGACTTTTGATCTTGAATACTGTTCCTTTTCTCCATATATTTCATTATATACATATAAAGAATTAGTTTCTTTCACATTTTTAAAGATTTGAAAAAAAAACTTTGTAAACAAGAAGTTCATTTAGAAATTAATCTGCTAGGAGTTTTTTAAGGATATAAATCAACACAGAAGCACAAAAGCATTTCTATTAAAATTTTGCTTTTCCTTAATTGTTAAAAAAATCAAAAAGGGGTCAGAAATATAAGACTGAGAAAATGAAAATGTAAACTATCTCAATGCATTTTTCATTACATAACGGACTGCTGGTAAACACCGTTTTCGGCATAACAAATGAAAATGTCGAAAAACAATTGCCAGACAGTGATCGATTGATTGATTGTATGTTGTTTAACGAAGAAATTTTCAATATGCCACCACTTGCCGGTGGAGAGCTGCAAATTTTGTCCTATACTCGGCACTTAGGGCCATTGAGCAGGGAGGGATCTTTTCCGTGCCAGCACCTACTGCGACATGGGACCTCGGTTTATACAGTCTCTTCAGAAGGACCGGTCTCCACGTCCCACAGTGGGATTCGAACCCGCGACGGCCAGACAGTGGAAGACAATGACTAAAAAACGCCCTGGTTAAATAAAGAAAAAGAAGAATCGAAAAAGGGTCGCGGATCGGGAATATGACATTGAGAGAATAAAAATATAAAAATCTCTCGTTTTTTCATTACATAACTGACTGTAAGTAAACACAGTTTTCGACATAATACTGATAAGGTCGAAAAACAATTGTCAGACAGTGACAGGCAATAATTAAAACGTGACTTATAAGAAATAGAATAACAAATACTTTAGAAGATTAAAAATGCATCTGAATCAAGAACAAGGTACTTTCACCTCCCTGGGTTTGCTGATGGATAACTGAAAGGGGCTGAGAGGAGTACAATTGAGGCGTTTTTTAAAAAAAAAATCTGTATTTTATCAAGATTGGATATTCTTGATATGGTTTTTCCAATTTCCCGTAATTGTGATAAGATTTTATGACATATATTGATGACTATTATATTTCTTTAGACTGGTCATGAGATGTGACTGTCCAGTTATTTTATTAAAAATATTTGCGGTATTGAAATCATCTATAAATTTCAATATTGCACGGGCATAATTAAAGAAATTCCAAGTTAAATGTACTTTTTTTTTTAATACTGTCATATATTTCCCATAAATTCAAATCTAAATTCAACTTTTTTGTGGTAATGTGAAGAATTTAATGTGATGTCAAAGTTAAAATTTTCACGTATAAAAAGACTCTGTGTCCTTTTTGTAGCCTTTCTATTGCAACAAAGTTGTTTGTCCTCCAACCTATTTCATCATTCGTGCACCACAATCTAATGATCTTAGGAACGTATCTGATTCTTTTTTGTTCACACTTTATTTTTTATATTTTTGTTCATTCTAAATAAATCTTATTTTAAATTAAAACGCCCAAAAAATTTGTGAAACCAAATAAGGAAAGCGATAGATATTCAGATGTCAAAGTACAAAAGCGTAATGAAGGTATAAACCAGGAATTTATTGGTATGCATATTAACGACCCAACATTGTCAGATGTACAAAGAAAAACATTGAAAGGCATTAATTTTAAAAAAATAAGTAAAAGGATTAAATGACAAATAAATTTTCACAAAAGCCATGCGAAGAAATGGTTATTAAGATTTTGTAATATGTATAAATGTTTTAAATCAGAATTATACAGTTATTACAAAAACACCCAGTTTTTATAGTCATTTCAAATGATGAATTTCAGAGAAACACGATGGATTTTTTCTTTAGGTGGATTGCTTAAAAAAAAAGAATTATAAAAAAAATTATATCAGTCAGAAAGATTTTTTTTTATCATTTCGTTGCACTATTTAAATGACAAATCACATAGTGAAAATAAATAATACACTTTTTATTTAATGAAAGATGACTTTTTATGCGAATTTTGACCCAAGTAAACCCGAAACCAAGTAATTGATATTAAACTTTCAATCTTTTAAGCTTCTTCTTTAGAAAAATAAAATATTTCGCAATACATTTTTTCTCATTTTTCCCCGTATTGGTTTTTGGTACTCAAAAAAGTAATGCATATATGAGTAATGTGGTTAAAATATTACACATTTAGATAAATGTTTAATAAAAGTTTTAATGTCATCGTAAAAAAATTATGCTGGTTTTTATTGCACATTTTCAGATATCATGGCGGGAATCCCAAAACGATAAAGGAATTAATAAACCATTTAGCACATGATTATGTAAAAAAATAAAAGTACAACATTATTATTCAACACAAGGGCTCTTGGATTACTCAGTCAAATTTCCAACTTTAATAATTTGCTGAAAATGCATTTTTTGTACAGAACCTTCCTCTAAAATTTAAAATCTATTTTTTTTATAGAAATCTTTACTTTGATAGAATATATAAAGAAAGCTACTTTTCAAAACTTTTAGAATAAGCTAAGGCATAATAAATATGCTAGTTTGTGAGAAAATGAGCTTTGGGAGCTTTTATCATTCATGCTTTTTAGTTTTTAATGGATGTTGCATGAAAAAGATATTACAAATAGTGATCATTCTATTTATGAAAAGAAGTATTATAGTGTCCGAGAAAATATGATTGATATTTCCACGTATGTTATTAATATTTTTTTTAATTTCCAGTATTCTTTTCAAAAAGATAATATTATTTATATTTGAATGTACGAAAATGATTGTTTTTATTAAAATCTTCCAAAATAACAAGACAGAATAAATGGAGTATTCTATGTGTGCTTACGGTGAATCCAGTTTTTAATCAAGTTGCACTATGAATATGGAAAACATGACACTAAATTAACAATTTCATAATCAAGGTAATGACAGTTAAGTTGATGATAAAAGAGTATTGACAACAACCATGATTAAAGTTAACATTGTCACTCTATAGTCGAGACATTGTCTCGACTATAGAGTGACAATGTTAACTTTGTTGCCTATAAAATTCATCGTTAGGACTAACCTTTTTCATACACTTTTTAGGTCATTATTTTCATACAGAATTGACACGACTTTCTCCGTTTACCAAATCATGACAAGAACCTCATGGCCAGAACTCCTCCATGGTATCTCATCTAATCTGATGTTTTCTATAGGTCAGATTGGCTTTGTTCCAAGTTATTTTGCTTAGCATGATTACTGTGCGTCATTCTTACATTATTATCGTTCGTTTATAGTTACATATGTGTCTGTAATTTGTGCATAATATTTATCTTTTAATTTTTATACTCTCGTTTCTTGTGTGCAGATTTCAAATATGTTTTAAGGAGAATATGTATATATTTTACAGCAAAATATGTATTAAAGGTATATTTCGGTAATTTTTTTTAATTATTTATATGTATTAATATGTACATAGATTAAAAGTTGAACACGTTACACTTGGTAACATATACATATAAACACATCTGCATTCATATGTATTTTTAATCGAATCTACACAGATTAAACTTGAACGTAGCGTATTTTAGATGTCTATATTCAGGGCTATACTTTGGGAACTACTCCGTGGTTATTTATCCATTATTTCAAACAAGATTACAGAAAAATAGATTCATATTTACATGTATCTTATATTTCCTGACATATTTTCATAAGGTCAATTTTCGTGAACTAAGACAAGAGGACAGATTTTTTCTTTGAAGTGTTCAGTTGTTTTGTATTTTACAATATATGGAGAATATGAATAGGGTCTCTTCATTTCTTGAAAACAACAAAAGACAAACACCATGAAAAAAATGTCTTCACCGTATAAAAAAAATAAATCAACCAGAAAAGGATTTTAAAATATTTTTATTCATCATTAGTCATTACAAGAATTAGATACCAGTAATTTATCTATACAAACATTCTGCATCTCAAAACGTGAGAAGAAAAACACAAACAATGAATGTTTTAAATGAGTACATTTTTATGCAAACAACAAATGTTTTTGGATTTCAAAGATAAGGAGAAGTAGGTTTATGTTTGTATAAACTTTGGGCGGCAAGCGAATACAGCAACCTGAAACAGACATAAAAACAGGAAATAACATCAGGAAAACCTTGATAAAGTAAAATCATCGAGTGCGTGTTTTGATGAACATTTTTAATTGATTTTAAGTACTTGATTATAATTTACAGCAACAGGACTGTTAGGCTAATTGTTAGTTTATATTTTGTGAATTATCATCTACATTTTTAATGCTGATAACAAATACCAAATAAAAATAATGTTTTAATAATTACAAAACTTGGTCTTAATTTGAACTTTTAAGTAACAGAACTTAGCAAATATTTTCGATTATTGCCTAATATAGTAAACTTACTTCATCAACAAAACCCTTGAAGTTCTTAAATCCTTTACTTTTTCCAATAAATAAGTTTTCATTTTTGTCCTGAATAGGTCCTAAATAGGAAAAAAAGAAATAACTGACTATTCACATAATAAATACTCCAGCAATTGCAAATGGAAAAAAGTAACATTCAATACAAATTAATATCAAAAAAACTTTAAGGAAAAGGAACTTTCTTTGCATAGTTAACGCATAGGAGAACCCATAAAATATTCCAAAGAAAATGTAACAAATTTACTTTGAATTTAAATATCAGGAAGACAACAACAACAATGAAAGAAGAAGTATCCACGATACATGATGCAACAACAAGAACAACAGACACCATTTAATACAATATTCATGTGGGAACGTTTTACAGGGTAATATTTCTATTTAGATGTTAGAAATTATATATAATTATGTACTTACCTAATGCCCAGGAGCCCAATACTTTTTCGTTTACAGCCAAGACCAGCTTGTTTTCATCATGCATAAGTTTCACAGTATTCCAGTTTTCTGGCTGAAAATCAGCATAATTATTTATCTAACATTCATATAAGTCCTCATAAAATATTTGAATTTGAAATTTAATTGCTTTATTCAATTTTCATTCTTTTCTACTTACGTTTAGTTTTGTATGAAGTGTAGAAATCCCATTGTCATCCCTTTTGATCATCGTGTGTACATTGCTAGGACTATTAAGAATAAGGAGACTTGGTTGTACTGATTCTATGCTGTTGCTAACGATGGCCCTTAGACGACTTTCATTTCCTGTTTCCAAGAATCTGACTGCAATAGTTACTTCAGTTTCCTTACTGAAGTCTAGGAATTTCTTTATTTCTAGGTAACTATTGCCATCAAATTTTGCCATTCCGTTGGATGTTAATTGTACCCCGTGATTAATTACTTCTCTCTTATTACCAGAATAATCTCGGAAATTTCCGTTAAAGGGCAAGTACAGCTCAGGTTTACATACTGAAAAAAAAAATACAAAAGAAAATATTTCTACAAACTTTCCCTGTCTAACCCATACTACGCAAAAGTAACAACTAATATTAGTACTTCACTGTTCCAGCTAAGTTGTTCTTACTTGTAGAATATCCTTTGTGATAAACACAGCCGCATTCTAACGCACTGTATTGGGTATTTTCCGGACACGTCATGTTGTGCCATTTCACACCACCTTCGACATATTGTTGATAGCGAGAGCGATCCCCGAAAATCGGACGGCTATCGCAAGGTCCCTGATGAAATGAGTCCCCGGGGCATGGATCTGTACAGGTTGTATCTTTGACACACCCCCGGTACTTCTTGTATCTTTGTCCTTCTGGACAGCAATCTCCGACTGATTTCTGAAGGTTACATTTCCAGTAGGTTCGACAGTTTCCGGAATCCATTGGATGAGAATTCAGTTGTCGTAGGCTGCACTTATCTATTGCAAAAATTTAAAAATTATTCAAATGTAAGCCTTATTCTCCTACATATACAACACATAAATGTGATTGATTTGATTTTTAGCTTTAACGTAAGTGAAACATGCTTTTTTTTCATATCCATTCTACACACATGTACGAGGTAGCTCATATTGCCGTAAAAAGGTTTTTTACGGGTTCATTGGACTTTTTTTTAACGTTCATGCGCTCTTGAATGAAATAATAAGGACTTCGTCATTTATCAAATTTAAATGTTATTTATATTAGCCAATGGTTTTAATAATTAAAAAAAATGTATTCATTTAGTTGATATCTTTACATGCCGTAACAATACTATTTACCTGATTTGCACTGCACTTCACTCGCAGTCCTACACGTGGGTACGTCCTGGTCCCAGAACTGACCAAATGGACATTGTCGGGGGACAGTTAGCTTATCTTGTAGCTTCTCCCCCTGATAACATTGGTAAAACTTGTCACAGTCTGAATCGTGATTTTTGTATCCTACACCGTCTATTACCCGCGCTCCACTACACACATCTAACAAATACAATACAAAACATGCTAAAGAAATGTGTACAGTAGATAAACAATTGGAAACTTGGTGTAGAATTTACAGAGTATTTAATTTTAATATCTTTGCATTTAATAAGTACATCTATTTGATAATAAACTATGAAATATGTGGAGAAAACAAAACAGTATTCAAGTTCAGAAGTCCATTGAGCATTACAAATTAGGAGCGGAGAAAACGATCCCGCGACCTCCTGAATTTAGAAAAGAAAAAAAAATTAACAAAAGGGATTCAAACCTACCTTCTACGGGTTTAAGATTTTCTTCCGCTTGAGGTCCTGCTGCAAATGCTGCCAAAGTAGTCCCAACGACAGAGATCAAACAAACAATTAAAACACTAATTAACCTCATTTCCCTGCAGAATTTCTAAAATAAATAAATAAATAAATAAATAAAGTGGTAGTAGCACATCAGCAAAAAATTTCCTAAGTAAATGAATATTTATCTTTAATGAAATGAACTTACATGCGAGAGGTCTCTTTTTGCTATGTGAATTAACTTACTTAAATCAAGAGGATGGAATATACCTACTGTTACGTTTATCAAGTTTACAAATGAAGTAGAAGCAAATAAGAACAGGAGACAACGACACTGCTTAGAGTGTAATTAATGGTCAATATAATCAATTTGATGATGACGGTTAGGCTAAATAGATTTTACAATTCTTCTTTGTCATATAAATATGCGTCAATTTGTCAGAACATTTTGACACCAGTAACAAATGACAACAACACGTGCGACTGATTTCTTTCAGTAATATTATGAAAGATGAAATGAAAATTCTTTGTGAATTAAGACATATTCAAAACTAAATACTAACACACCCCCATATTCTTATCATAGAATGAGAGACAGAGAGAAATAAAAAGACAGTAAGACGACTAGAGAGGAGGCTCAAAAATTTGTTCAGTCTTGAAATAAATACACCATTTTTACTTAGCACAATAAAAATGGAAACAAAAACATAGTTTTATTTACTCAAAAAGCAAAAAAAAAAAAAAAAAAAAAAAAAAAAATCCTCCTTTTAAGAGATAAGGAAAAAAAAAGATAGAAACAGACTCTAGGTAAAGTAAAAATTCATGTACCTACCTACTAAGTGTTTTCATCAAATACTGAAGTTCATGAAAGTCTGCCGCATTATAATGACTTTGAAGTTTGATTTGATGACTAATTTACGCAAAGTACGTATGAGCCTAATGAATTACCTGGTTTGTTATTTTCCTCTGACGCCAAGTTGCACCTTACTATTTAGACAAAATTTCACGAATGAGATGATATGCTAATCCTAAATTCCTACGCCTGATTATTTACTGCATACATTAATTTCAAAGGTCGTGTAAATATATATTACCTATCGTGAAAAACAAATTCTTAATTAATGTGCATTTCCTAAGAATCTACGTGCGAGGTGAAGCGAGGAAGAAACCGACTAGTGCCTACCTATCTGAAACAATGCGTCTTTGAACCGTTTCATGAGTATTTTAAAGATCCGCATAACATTCATTAACGCAATTTAATTATTGACATCATTCGGTTAGAGTGCGCAAGCAAAGGAAAGTGGTAAGAAAAACATTTACCCCTTTTATATGCAAAACAGGATTTGAATTTTTATTTAGAAGGGAAACAGTATTAATGTAAGTATCATTATATAGTGAGAGCAAGCAAAAAGAATTTTGAATATTTCATTCAAATTAATAGATTTGAAAATTAGAAGATTAAATTCATAATCAAAAGAGGTCCAAGAATAATCATTCCAACTTTAGTATTTTTAATTTTTGAAACAAAGAAGATGAAAAAGAGAATAAATTATTATAAGTCTTATTTTTTTAAGTAATCTGTAAAAGATTTTTGTATTTTAATTTTCAATCTATGTTTTTATCATTTAAGAAATATATGACTAATAAAAAAATATAAATAAATTAGAATGCATTGACAAATAAAAAGGTTTGCTAACATGATTATATTTGGGATTTCCAAAATAAGTTATAATTATAAATAATTCTAAAGTAAAGGTATATTTAATTATTCCCCCTGGTACTAAGTACTGATTAAGATGTCTGTTCCATCTGTCTCAAGACTTATCACCCTGATAAGTCTTTAGTGTATTGACTAACGATACATATGACATATATGGATGTATTTTATGTTACTCGGAAAACATACTTGATCATGTGACATCCTACATTAGGCTCATCACCCATTAGTTGCTTTTTTAACATTTTAAGTTTGTTACACGAATGAAGAGTTGAAAGATTAGGGAAACGACTAAGGTATTTTCAATTATTTTGGACTCTCTTTCATATACTAAGTTTAAAAAAACATACTTTTTCTTACTGGAGAAATTAAGACTTGTTTTTTTTTTAATTTAAGCATATCTTCATAATCTTTCTTAAGAAAGCAAACGATTTAAAATAATTAAAACTTTATGTATCTTATGCTTTAGAAAGCTTTATTTGTAAATCGCTATTTTGTATGATATAAAAAATCTTTGAAAACTATATTTGTTGAATCTTCATAAAATCTTTCATCTAAATAATTTTTTTCCAGATCTTCACAGTGGATAATGAAAAAAATAAAAGAGCTACTATGTATTATCGCAATTTATATTTATCAAGTCAGAAGCGTGGACGAGAGAGGTAAATAAAATCTATCTAATAAGTCATTATTTAACATAAAGAATAATAGGTTTTTTATTCTTACATAGCATTTAATTGCATATTTTTAAAAATAAAAAGTGCACACATAGCATCTTTGTTATTGCTTTTGTACTGTAAACTCATGATTTATCACTGAATAATTAGTAAAGTTTAAATGATTAGGTTCTTTAACATTCGACCTAAGTTTTACATCATCAGTAAATTTAATTTATATTAATTATTCAAGAAATTGTTAAGTTGAAATCAATATGAAGAAGAAATATTAATTTAAATTTTAAAACATTTTTACAGGATGCAAAGGCTTAATGGAGTTAGTGGTCATTATAGACGGGTCGGACAGTATCAATAAACCCGATTATGATTCCTTAAAATCCTCAATGGCCACCTTAGTGCAAAAATTAGACATTCAAGAAACAGAAATCCGCATATCGTTCATTGTCTTCAGTTCAGACATTGCATTGGAGACAGACATGATGGGGGACAAACAACAGGCGATAAACACAGCCGCCACATTACCCCACCCCAGGGATGGGACCAAAACATGGTTGGCACTGGAGGCAATGGTGTAAGTTCCCCATGGTTTTGAATCCTTCATTTTTTTTATGGTTAATCACTTAAGAAGGTTATGTAAGGAACATACTGAAAACAATTAAGTAATTCTAAAATTATGTATAGGATATATTGAGCTCTTAAAAGACGGAAGTGGTAGACAAAAAACGATCAAAAATAAATAAAATAAATATCATACCTACCGGTATCTTATTAAAAATTTCAATCAAAGACCAGTTTTCATTTGGTGTTAATAAACCATTTCTTATATATTAATGAAAATAAAAGAATAGAAAACTGAGGGGAAATTTAAAAAAATTAAGCTTCAGTTAAACTGAATTTGACTGCGGAATGTTCCGTCCATCTGATCAATATAAGGGGCTTACGTTGGTATTGACTGTTCAACAGGAGATGCTTGCTCCTTCTAGGCAACTGATCCCACCTCTGTATTTTCAAGGAATCCGTGTTTTGTGCACTCTTTACATATTTGTATTGTTTATAGATTATTTTTTTTTAGATCGATCGGCATTCGTTGTCTTCAACTGTTACATCAAGTAAACTTTAATTCGTGTTTTTTCTTTCCTTTCCAGAGGAGTTATAGATAGAGGTCGCACCCCAGGCCGCAAAGATGTGCCTGTAGTTGGCGTGGTGCTTACTGACGGAATATCAAAGGATGAAGCAAAAACCAGGCAAGCTGCCAAAGCTTTAAAAGACATGGGAGTGACAATGTACGCTATTGGTGTAACAGACATCAAGAATAAGAAAGAACTGAACGATATAGCCTCAGGGAGTGAAAAAGTCATCACTTTCCAATCTTTTTCCGAGTTGGCAGAGAAATTGGAATCTCTTGTAAAACTTGTCTGTCCTAGTAAGTGTTTGAGAATAAATCTGTTTTTCTTTCCTTGATAACTAAATTATGTCAAACTATTAATGGAGACAACTGCTGAATCTGCTGTGGTCAATTAGTCTTTTTCTATAATATCGAATAAAAATTTGAATCTTCAACTGGTATTCGCTTGCTTCATCACTTGATTTAATTTAACCTAATCTAATGAAGTCTGATGATATCAGTTTTTCTTTTTTTCGATTTACCTTAATACATACCTTTGTTTTGCAGAATGTCCTCCAAATCCCCTTCTTGCACACTCAGACACCCAACAAGGAGACTACATTGTGGACACAGTGTTGGAGTATCATTGTATGCCGGACTATGTACCAGTGGGAAATAACACCATCTTGTGTCAAAGGGATCTTACATGGACAAAACTTGATTATGCCTGCAAATGTAAATTACATTCTTTGTCATAAAAGTAAATCTCAGCATTCGACCACCGTCAATCAAAAAGATAAGTGAATCAAAATTAAAGATACTAAAAAATGAAACCTTATTATCTTGTAAAAATAATAGACTTGAATTTGTTAATATTAACATATTTTACTGACAATATAAAAAAACCAAATTGGACACAAAAACAGGAAATCCCCTCCCTCTTCTCAAGTTTTTTTAGTATGGGTTCTGTAACTTTAAAATGACATGCTTATCCTTCCAGCTGACTGTGGCGCTCCTCCTGTTTTGGATCATACAATCCTGGATATACCAGGCAGACTTGAAGGATCAAAGACAAAGTATCAGTGTACCAGAGGATCTGTTCTAGAAGGAACACCAGAAACTGTCTGTCAGGAAAACGGACAGTGGTCCAGACCCACCTTCAAATGTCGAGGTAAGCCAACTTTTATTTCAATAAAAAGAACACGAAAAATTGTATGGAACAATTAAAAATGTAAGCCAAAAATGGAAAAGCAGTTGGCGTAAAAATACAACTTCCATTTTGACTGATTTGTTGGTCTTCTGAAAAAGAATTCAAAAATGTAATCAAGCAACAAATAATTGGGATGTGATGACATATCTATTCCAGCCGACTGTGGATTGCCAAACATCATAAAACATGCTATACTGAGTGACGGAGGTCAACTAGAGGGTGACAAAAGAACATACACATGTGATGCAACAACCACTGTACAAGAAGGAAACCCCACCATAGTGTGTCAGAATAATGGAGAATGGTCCGTAACAGACCTTTACTGTAGACGTAAGTATTCTATTGCCATATTAATATAGATTGTAGATGGATGTCTGATTGCTTTAAAGATTTTTATCTTGCACAGGGTACATGTACTGCTGGAGTGTTGTTAACATTGTCACTTTGTAAACGATAAGTATTTTACACTATTAGCAGAATATTTGAAGACATCTGTCACCCTGCCTTTGTTTAGGCTGTAATGGAATAAAGTTATGTGCATTGTGATGAAATATTTTCATTATTGGCATTTTATAGCTAATTGTGGTTATCCACCCAAAATTGAACGAGCTACGATATCCGCTGGTGGATTATTAGAAGGTGTCACACGTACATACACCTGTAACGTAGGTACAGTCACAGAAGGCAAAACAATGATAACATGTGGTCCCGACGGAAAATGGTCTGCCACCAACCTTTACTGCAGGCGTTAGTATCAATTAATTTTTTACAAGTATTCTGTTATAAGTTAACAGATTACAGTTCATCTTGGAGTATCAAAGAAGAAAACAAGTGTTGAAAAAAAAACAATGCAAAAATTGTTCAATTCAAAGTATTTTAAAAATATCAAGTTTGATGATAAATATTTTTTATTTTTCAAACAGCTGATTGTGGACCACCACCAAATATAGAACGTGCGATAATTAAAGAACACAACGTGGTTATAGAAGGCGTCAGGCTTCCCGGTACACTGGAAGGAGTCACGAGGTACTACCAATGTCAACCAAATACTGTGGCCGAAGGACTGACCAGTACTACCTGTCAGCTGAACGGACAATGGACAGTTACCAATCTTTACTGTAGACGTAAGTAAAAGTACCAGTAGTTGTTGTAACCTACTTTGCAAACAATCAAAAATATTGACGTTTACATTTCAAATATATTTGATCAAAAAATGTTTTATAAATATATTGATTCCACAAATTGAAAGTCAAAATGATTTTGCTGCTTTATTTCTATAGAAAACTTCTATCTTCTATCTATAACTTTCTATAGAAAATCTAAATTGGACAATATTTAATAAAGATATGTTTAATCAAAAAACTTAAACAATTGAAGAGATTATACTGGTATTCTAATTATTTATATATCTTTCTTTTATAAAGCTAATTGTGGCAATCCCCCAACCATTGAGAGAAGTACCGTGACTTTTGAGGGAACACTGCAGGGTCATAGCGCCACCTATACTTGCGTACAAAATACTCACACAGAGGGATCCACAAATATCGTCTGCCAAATTGATGGAACCTGGTCATCCACTAATCTTTTCTGCAGACGTAAGTCTACTTTTAAATCTACTGAAACAAAAGTATTTATTCTGTATTAACTAACCATCGGAATCTTGAGCCTTTTAGCGTTAAAACAAGGTTCGTGTTTTCACTACATGTAAATATCATGCATTTTCAGCCGATTGTGGGCCACCACCGGTAATCGAACGATCCATAATTTCTCCTGGAGACAATAAGCAGGGAACAACAAGAACGTATAGTTGTCTTAGCAGTACTGTTATGGAAGGAAATCCAGCAATTACTTGTGGAATGAATGGAATGTGGTCACAAACAAACCTATACTGTCGCCGTGAGTATTCTTAATTCACATTTCCAGATTTCAATGCAAGTTTTAAATGCCTGTTAATAGTAAATGCATTTGGGTTGAATATATCTATAGCTTGTTGATTGTTAAGAAAGTGTGAAAAATCATTTTCTTTGTGTATATTTAGCTGACTGTGGACCACCACCAATGGTTGAGCGTGCCGTAATCTTAGATTACAATAAGGTCATAGAAGGTGTACGGCTACCTGGAACTCTAGAGGGAGTAACTAGATATTACGAATGTCAAGCAAATACCGTTGCTGAGGGACTGACCAGTACAACTTGTCAAGTGGATGGAACATGGTCTTCTACAGGATTATATTGTCGACGTATGTAATAAAGTTTATAATTATTTCTTCTTCTAAGGTCAAAACTTACAAAAATATACAACAAGAAGTCTTTTAAGGATTTCTTTCGATGGATCCAGCAGATAATTAAATAAATCAAAGATTTAACACCATTTGAATTACTGTTTTCTAACATGTAATTTTAATAAGTATCAATTTCCATCTATAGCTAATTGTGGTAAACCACCAGTTATTGAAAGAAGTACCGTGACTTACGTCGAAACATTGGAAGGACAAACAGCTACCTACACGTGTGCACAGAACACAAGAACAGAGGGCTCCACAACGATAACGTGTCAAAACGACGGAACCTGGTCATCTACTTCTCTTTATTGCAGACGTAAGTGAGCTTATAGGATCAGTAAAATGGATATTTTGTGCTATCTTCATTTTCATTTTTGAACATGGCAAAATATGACCAAGATGATTGCTTTTCAACGTCTTATTTTTTACATTTTCTAGCCAATTGTGGACCACCACCAATGATACTTAGAGCCAAGATTTCCAAAGGCGATACATATGAGGGAACAGTAAGAACATACACATGTATGAGAAACACTGTCACGGAGGGGACACCAACCATTACTTGTGGCATTGATGGACAGTGGTCAAAGACAAACTTGTACTGCAGACGTAAGTATAAGACAATTTATCTCAGGTTGTAGGTTTTTTGAGTAAATAAAGGGAACAAGGATGTAGTTCTATCTCTACGTGCATGTATCTGCTGTGTCTGGAGTTGTGTGAGTCTTTGTTGATTTGGGGAGTCGTCTGATTGGAGCGTCTTCTAATTTTAAGGAAAAAGACGAAACTCATCAGACTCATCCTCGGACAGCTCGTCCTCAGAGGAAGACGAAGAATCCACAACTCCAAGGCGCAGGCGTAGACGGAAGTGTTGTCGTAGCTTGCTCAATAAATGTTGTCGTAGAAAGTGTCTGAGGTCGTCTAGGTGCAGGTCGAGGCTTAGGAGTACAGTACAGCCGATCAGAAATGCTTACATTCCAGAGGAGGAAGAGATGGACTTCAAGATTGATACACAGTATCAAATCAATGATGCAATTGATCTTAAAGAAAGCGATGATGACGACATATGATGACGACATATAATATGGCAATACAGAACTGTTGTTTTTTTGGACACTGAAATCAACTATTCTGTGTGCCACAAAACTCTCTAACCTTTCTTTGTTGTATTTAAAAATCTAAAGTATTCTTTTGTTTTGTTGGGCACATGTCCTTGTTAATTGAAACCTCAGAAGGTATTGAAAACAAGTATATGCCTTTCAGTATTCATGTAATTAAGTTTGAATTCTTCTTCGATGTGCTCAGGTCTTGTTCATTAGTATTCACTAAGTATTGCACATGTTACGCTATTTACGTTTTCTTATCTGTTATCTTTTACTATTGTTTTGTTGAAATGGCACCATTTAGTATTCAAATATGGAGAGTCACTAGTATAGTATTAAGTTTTACTGTTTTATTTTGTTGTTTCTTCTTTGTTATTTAATCAGAATAAATTGCAAATGAATCTCCTGACTTATTTTTCATCGATAAAATAAAATATCCGATCTTCCAAGCAAAATACAAATATCTTCATTATTAGTTATCTTAAAAAGCATAAAACTCCCTTTGAACAAATGATTTTACTGGCGGACTGCTGTTGTAGCGGACTGTGGTGAACCTATGAAGATAGAACGAGCAACCATTAACCAAGGGTCAACACTCGAGGGAGATGTCCGGACATACACATGTAACCAGCAAACTGTCACAGAGGGGGAAACTCGGATAACGTGCTTAGAATCTGGATTCTGGTCAAATACAAGTCTTTATTGTCGACGTAAGTGCTTTCACTATATTTCCATTACCTATATTTATTGTCATTTCTATTATCCATTCGCAAACAAAATTTGTAAGGCAAATGAAAAGAATCGGAAACAATGAAACGCTCAATATCTGTCTCTCGAAGTATGCATGATATTGGAGATACTGGAGATTCCAGAATGCAGTTTGATTCAGATCCTCAGGTTTATAAAATTAGCAGTTAAGTAATCAACAATACTCATAAAAGTATCTCTGAATCAACAAAATTATGTAAATTTGTCCACAGTATTTCGTTAAAGTTAAAGATTAAAGTTAATCATATTATATAGGGAAAATTGCCAAATCTCCAATATTTCTGCAGAAAAAAGCGTATTGGAACATCTGCAATGTATTTTCTAATTGCAAATTGATCAACAAATATATTTTAGGTTTAAAAACGATAGTTATCCAGGCATTCAGAGAAATTGTCATGATTTTTGTATTTATTTGATATTTTTTGTTTTCTATTTCCGTCATATATTCTATAGTAAATAGTGTAAAAGGCTTTTGCTATCATTGCAATCAAGACACCACAAATCACTTCGTATTTCATATCATGCAAATAAGCATTGGTATCTAAGCCTGGATTCAAGAAAATCTTATTTCTCTAAAACTGTATTAATTTTTTTCCTTTTATAGGGTACAGATATCAACTTTTATAAGTCCTTTTCTTAGATTTCCAAAACCCTTGTATCTTATAAAGATGAATAAAATGAAAATTTGTTGCATGAAAAAATTAAATTTCAAGCTTCATTTTGATGCATTTCAAATTAATTATCAATTTTTGGAGTTATCCTTCCTGGCTGAGGATCGGATATCCTTAAACTGACAAACATACTACGCACCCATAAAAGATCTTCAGTTAATATGATTTTTTTTCTTTGTCTCAGCGGATTGTGGAGAACCTCCATTGATAGACAGAGCCAGTTTGGATGTAGGAAAGACTGTAGAGGGCGTCATCAGAACGTACACCTGTCAGGTAAAAACTGTGACGGAGGGGTCCAGAGAGATCAGATGTGAAATCACCGGTCTCTGGTCAACGAGCAACTTGTATTGTCGACGTAAGTACTTTTTCAGCAATTTTGTTTCATCATTGACTTATCAATATTTTATGAGCATGTTAGTCGTTTAAACAAGTAAAAAAAAAAACATAAAATTTTTAATATATCAACTATCAACTTTCTTTTCAGCGGATTGCGGACCACCTCCAGTGATTGAAAGATCAACTGTCTCCGTTGGAAACAATTTACAGGGAACTACTCGAACATACGCTTGTGATCAGAACACAGTAACGGAGGGGGAGACTTCAACAGAATGTCAGATAGATGGAACCTGGTCCCAGATCAATCTCTACTGCAGACGTAAGTCAACTACATCTAAACCCTTATATTAAAAATATGAACTCAAAATAAATATACAAAGATAACAAACAGTATTCAAGCTCAAAAGTCCATTAGATAATATAAAATTGATAGAAAGCGAACACGGACCTCCAAAATATCAAAGGTGGAATAAGATACAATTGAGGAGTTAGCACCTCCTGTCCTTTATATTTTCTAATAGTTTTAATCAATTTCACAGCGTTAGTATTTACTTCCTGGTTGTGATGACTACGCAGGCAAAAATACTTGATCTTCAGTTTATATGATTTTCCTACTTTTAAGCGGATTGTGGAGAGCCTCCTTTGATAGACAGAGCCAGTGTTGATGTAGGCAAGACAGTAGAGGGCGTCATCAGAACGTACACCTGTCAGGGTAAAACTGTGACGGAGGGGTCCAGGAAGATCAGATGTGAAATCACCGGTCTCTGGTCAACTAGCAGTCTGTATTGTCGACGTATGTACTTCGCACTTTCTCAGTAATATTTATTTCATTATTAACAATTTTTCTTGGCCTGTGAATCGTTTAAACATGTTACGAACGAATTAAAGCTTACACAATTCAAAATCAAGCAAGTTTCGGGAAGATTTTCAGTTACCAAAAGAAGAAACAAAACAAAATTTTAAAAATATCAACTTTCTTTTCAGCGGATTGCGGACCACCTCCAGTGATCAAGAGATCAACAATTTCCGTTGGAAACAATTTACAAGGAACAATCCGAAGGTACACTTGTGATCAGAACACAGTAACGGAGGGGGAGACTTCAACAGAATGTCAGATTGATGGAACCTGGTCCCAGACAAATCTCTACTGCAGACGTAAGTCAACTACATCTAAACCTTTTTTATGGAAAAGAAAATTTATTCTCCAAATTCTTAAATGAATTTGACGAATTGTTTTTTTTTTAATTTAGCCGATTGTGGTGATCCTTATCCAATTCCACGCGCCATCATAAGTGCTGGTTCCAATTTGGAAGGGTCTAGCAGAATCTACACCTGCAATCAAAACACACGCACAGAGGGAGAAACTACAATAAGATGTGAAGAAACCGGATTGTGGTCCCTGACCAACCTGTACTGCAGACGTAAGCTACACCTAAAAATATATTTTCACCTAAATCCTGCTAATCTTGCAAAAATATTTTTCCTATATTGTTAATAAAGTAACTACGTAAATAATTATTAACAGCCAACTGTGGTGAACCTCAACCAATTCTACGTGCCACCATTAGTGCAGGAGGGACCCACGAGGGCGACAAGAGGATGTATACTTGTAACCAACAAACAGTAACGGAGGGAAATACTGAAATCCATTGTCAGCCTAACGGACAATGGTCCACCACCAATCTCTACTGCAGACGTGAGTTGATTCATAATTATACGAACTATTTGTCACAACATTCTGCAAAATCCAGCAGAAATTAATTTAATGTTTCTGAAATTTTTGATGAATGAAACCAGTTTAAAATGAGAATTTCATTGCTGCAATTTTTGAAGTGTCAAGTTTGTCAAGGACAGTCAAATATTTCACTTAATTTGGGTTAATGTATATATTTAGAAATTTTTGCAAATTGTAACAAGGCCATTTCTTACAAAAAATGTATAAGAAAGACTTCAAAAAAGGAAAAAATCTGAGAAATAAAACAGCCTTATACTTAACTTCTAAAGTAATAGGTCACAGAAGATAATGAATGCGACTTTGAAATTTAACAACTATTAAAATTTTTCCTTTAGTAATTATAATTATTATATTTAATAGAAATTCATGCCAAATACATTTAGGTGTTTTTTTTAAATATGTCTGCAGAAAGTCAGTTATATTCTCTTTTCTTTGCACTCTTCAGCCGACTGCTTAGAACCACCCAAGATTGACCGAGCGATTATTAGCGTGGGTAGAACAGTAGAAGGAACCACTCGCACATACACTTGTAATCCAGGGAGCCACACAGAGGGCACCACCACTATTATATGTCAACAAAGTGGAGCTTGGTCAGCGACTAACCTCTACTGCAGACGTAAGTGATTCATATCTTTTGCAACTCTTAACCTTTAGTAGAACTCTGAATACATGTAACAGCGAGTCCTTTTTGGTTTAACCAGTTTTACGTTTATAAAAAGAATAATTTGTCAGAAAAAATATGCAAAACTCAAACTAGACAAATCGCTGTGTTTCAAAGGATCAATTTAAAGATACTGCTATAAAAAATCTGTACCATTGTTTAATGCTACTTTTTAATCAGCTGACTGTGGCAATCCACCCATTGTGGCAAGATCGAGCATTTCACTTGGCAACAACTTAGAAGGTACGACACGTTACTACACATGCGCAGAAAATACTGTGGCAGAAGGGCTTAAAGAGACAACTTGTCAGATTGATGGAACCTGGACGGTTACAAACTTATACTGCAGACGTAAGTCTTCCACCTCGATCAGTAATTACCGTATATAAACACCTTTTTACAAGAAAATAAATAACTTCAGATTATAACTGGGAAATTGAATTTGTGGAATCACCTCATTTGAGAACTGAACTTATTTTATGTTATATTATATAATACATTCTTACATTAAAAATGAGCTCGAGAATCACTTAAGTGAGAGAGATAACTTTAAATCTTTTAAAAACCTTATGAAATTCAGTTTCGGATTAAAGTTCTTGAAAAAAATTCAAGTTTGAAGTCTATAATAAAAAAAATTAATATGTTTATTTGAATACATTATCAGTATAATATATAAATTTTGTTTTAAAAATTAGCAAACTGTGGAATGCCAATGAACATCCCTAGATCAACTATATCTCCTGGAAACACACTCGAAGGAACCGTCAGAACTTATACTTGCGACGAAAATACCGTAACAGAGGGACCCACAGAAACTGTCTGTCAGTTAAATGGACAGTGGTCACTAACAGCAATGGATTTATACTGTAGACGTAAGTACAAGCAAATTATGCATTCATAATAATGTCTGGTGCAAACAATACCTCTAAGAAGACCCACTACCGCCAATTAGTTGTTTAATCAATTAAAAAACATTATTTTTTACTCATCTATTAGCTGACTGTGGAGAACCTATGCCAATCAATCGCGCGACAATAGCGCCAGGAAGCAATCTAGAAGGTTCCACCCGTTTCTACAGCTGCGCATCAAATACCGTAGCAGAAGGACAGCTTAACATTATTTGTCAGAAAGACGGAATGTGGTCAATGACTAACTTATATTGCAGACGTAAGGCTGAAATTGAAAATTTATTTCAAATATTTTATAAAGGCAAAAAGTCTTCTTAAGTAAACATCTGGTTAACATCTGTCCTTCACCTTTTCAAGCCAATTGCGGTATCCCTGACACTATACCTCGCGGTGGTCTTAAATATGAATCAACCTTGGAGGGTGCAGTAGCTACTTATTCCTGTGCCTCAAACACCGTACTGGAGGGTGGTTCTACAATTGTTTGCCAGGGAGATGGACGCTGGTCAAATATAACTACATACTGTCGGCGTTAGTATTTTGTGGTTAATCTTTTAAATAAAAAAAAAAATTGTACTTCATTTAAAAGTAATCAAACATTTTGAATACATGTAAATATATTATAAATGTGAAGTATAATAAATAATACATTTCAAATCTTTTTAAAAATTTGTTAAACTAATATTATGCCTAATAATTTCAAATAATAATACATGCTCTTTAATGAAATTCTTAAAAGGTAATACGTTGTTAACGATGTTAATTATTTATTTTTCATTCATCAAGATTTTTATTTGAATTTAATAAATGTGGACATAATATATTTTTAAAGCAAATTGTGGAGAACCTCCAATCATACCTCGCTCTACTGTGTCTGTTGGGGGCACACTGGAAGAAGATACTAGGACATACACGTGTGACGTTGGAACAGTCGCAGAATCCGGACCCTCACAGATTGTGTGTCAGAAAAACGGGCTCTGGTCATCCACTGACTTGTACTGCAGGCGTATGTAAATAAAATTTAAATCTAAATGAAAAGATGAATCGGTTTATATGATAAACAAAGTAAGGATGACTTTTTTAAAACTAAAGATTTAAGAATTTCTTTGTAAAAACAGCCGACTGTGGTGCTCCTCCAGTTATTCCCAGAGCCACAATATCACCAGGTAGTAACCTGGAAGAGAGTATAAGAGTGTACACATGTGACGCCAACACCTTGACACAGGGTATCATCAACATTAGGTGCGATCGTAACGGACAATGGTCAACTACCGACCTATACTGCAGACGTAAGTGAATGTCTCTTGTCTTCTTATCTCCACGAAATATTTAAAAAAATCATGAGAAAAAAATTCAAAAAGCTTACATTGACAAAACAGTATGAAAGTTCCAAAATTTTACTTTTAGCAATCTGTGGAAGACCGCCGTTGATAGAGCGGGCCTCCTTTTATGCCAATTCTACGGCGGAAGGAGGCGTAGCTTTGTATCAGTGTAGTAACTGGACCGTCACGGAGGGATCAACATCCATCGTTTGTCAAAAGAATGGTCTTTGGTCAGAGACCGATTTGTACTGCAGACGTAAGAAGCACAATTAATACTCATATTAATAAGTGGACATAATCAAATAATAAAAGCACATTAAAACATAACCATATATTTTTGTACTGGTCATGCTAATAGCTGCATGTATATGTTCCTTGGAATTTTGTTATAATATCTTCAAACTTTACAATTCGTAGAAACAATATTCTGTAATTATTATTAAATTTCGTATCTTCTTACAGCAAATTGTGGTCCACCTCCCAATATTCCTAGATCCACCGTACAACCAGGGGATACAACAGAGGGTACCTCTCGATTTTATGTTTGCGATAAATCAACAAAAACTGAGGGAATTACCGAAACCAAATGTCAAAAAGACGGAACTTGGTCCAAACTAGACATGTACTGTAGACGTAAGTGAACAGTTTAATTTTACATTAACTTTGGACCCAAGTATTAATGACAAAATATGATTAAAAAGGAATTAAAGCCGAATAGCTTTTATTCAATTTCCTCAACGAGTTATCTTTCTTTTTTGAATTTAAAGATTTTAATTATCAAATTTTCTTCGGTACTAAAGCTGACTGTGGCGCTCCTGTTTCTGTGGAGAACTCTAAAACAATTTACCCAACCTCTACGGTGGAGGGCACAAGACTAACACTGGAGTGTGTAGCAGGGACGGTAGCAGAAGGAAACAATGAGGTGTTCTGTCAAAAAGACGGAACCTGGACAAAACCAACGCTATACTGTAGACGTAAGTCCAGAGTTAATTTACATATATCTGTACATACATGTAGATTACCAGACCAAAATCCCTCCAAAACAATTACTTTCAGAATTAATTTTTATAGACACTATAACCGGAGAAAAGGTTTGAAATGGATTTTTTTCAGATTGAATCAAAGTATTATTTAATGATGTTTGCAAATATATTGTTATAATTCTTACAGCTGATTGCAAAAAGCCATTCATGATACCAAGAGCAACAGCGCAGTACACTAGCACATTAGAGCAAGCTGTTGTCGTTTATGTTTGTAATCAAGGTACAGTAAGCGAGGGAGAGAATACCAGCGTTTGCAAACATGATGGGACATGGAGTGACGTAAATCTTTACTGCAGACGTAAGCAATTACTTGACAACAATAAAAATGCGTATGCATACATAATATTAATTTTCTATAAATAGTATTTTGCGAGGCATTGATAGTTAAGTAAGACAGTTGATGTGTTAAAAATTTAAACATTTTTTCCCTAATTTTTAGCTGAATGTGGACCTCCTCCAAAAATACAACGATCCACCATTACCGCCGGAAATTGGACAGAGGGATCCACCTTGACATACTGGTGTGATGAGGGAACAGTGACGGAGGGAAATCCATCAATCACGTGTCAGAGTAATGGGCTGTGGTCCGATACCAATTTGTACTGCAGACGTAAGATTATAAAACAATTTTTCTAATTATATCTCTCAATTTCGTTGATTCTCTCTCCCCCCCCCCTCCCAAAGAAAGGGTATAGGGTATTTACTTTTAATCGACAATAAATTGATGATGTTGATGATGATGATGATGCAATATTTTTTGCGTTCTTCAGCTGATTGTGGTGTTCCAAAACTCATTCATCGTGCGATCCTATCAGAAGGTGACACTTTAGAGGGGATAACTCGTACGTATACATGTACAGCTAATACTGTCGCTGAGGGCAAAACGACGATTGTGTGCCAGAATAATGGACAATGGTCTTCAACAAACTTATATTGCAGACGTAAGTGAAATCCCATAAGAACACATAGAAAATATACTAAAAGAATAATCATATAGCTTTGATATTTCCTAAATAACAATAAGATGTACTTAACTGATGATTTTAGCAAACTGTGGTGCACCACCTATGGTGGAGAGAGCCGTTGTGGACATGGATGGGTCGGCACTTGAGGGTGCCATAAGATATTACGCGTGTATCGGAGGATCTGTGCTGGAGGGCGAAAACAGCATCACTTGTGGGCAAGATGGACGCTGGTCTGATGTCAGAGTTTACTGCAGACGTAAGCTACATATATGAAAAGACAAAAAAAAAATTACATTGAATTTTGTTTGCTTATTTAACATAAATTTAATTCAAGTCAGATTCTTTATCCGAAGATGACACTGTATCACAATACAATAATATTAAAGTTTATCAAGTTGACATTTTTTTGGGGAAAAAATATTCATGTACCAGTATGTTAATAAACAATTGAACAATATTTATAATACAGCTAATTGCAACCAACCTCCACCGGTACCCCGAGCCACTGTCGATACCAGTACTGGTACTTTGGAAGGCAGCATTGCTGTTTACACATGTGACCGTAAAACGGTTCAAGAAGGCTTTGGGGAAACTGTTTGTCAAAAGGATGGTACTTGGTCAAAAGTGGATCTTTATTGCAGACGTGAGTTCATGTCTAATTCAAGCGACATTCTTAAATGGTTTTGGAATGATTTAGATTCTTATAGTATTTTATAGGAATCTGAATATGAAAACTTAATAAAAGGGATTGACAATAGGATTTCTTTTTACTATATCTAGCTGATTGCGGTCCACCACCAGTGATAGCCAGAGCCATACTACAGGAAGGCTTTAATACCGAAGGATCCGTACGTCATTATGTCTGTGACAAAAATTCTGTAAAAGAAGGAGTGGGAGAAACTATCTGTCAGTCAGATGGAACATGGACTCCAGCCAATGTGTACTGCAGACGTAAGTAGCGAATGTCTATTGGACTGAGAAAACGTTATTTTAATATGTTTTTCAGAGCAAACAATGGCAAATGTGAATTAAATAGACCTACATGTATTTGAGTCCCGGTTGGCAAACTGCACCTTTTTATGTCTTTCACTTTAAAGGGTAAATTTTATTTATTTGACCTTTTCCATCTTAAAAACTGTAAAATTTATATTTCACAGCTGATTGCGGAATGCCACCAAGGCTCCCTAATGCATTCATCGAGACACCCGGTGGACCAACAACTGAGGGATCAGAAGTTGTGTATGGATGTGTGGAGAATCACGTGGCCGAAGGTGACCCCTCAGTGTTCTGCACGAAAGAAGGACTATGGACAGATTCATCTCTGTACTGCAGGCGTAAGTAGCTTTTATCTACAAATATTTATTAACTAGTCCTATTTTGCATAAGATTAGATGACTTTTGTAAAAGAAATGATCAGTGCTTGATATATAGAAAAAATATGCTGTACCCCCGTTTTTTCTAGCAATACTGGAGTATATTAAAAATTAAAAAATATATATAAATATTGAAAATATTCTTTTTATGAATTTTGTTAGATGAACATTGGTTTTATTAGTTGGTTTGATCAACAATAAAGTTTTCTTGCAGCCGATTGTGGTTTGCCAGCATTGCCCCCACGAGTCCTTCCGTTACCTGACGACGCATACACACTAGAGGGCGCTGTTATAACAATGGTTTGTGACGACGACAATGTTCCTGAAGGAGATAATACCTTAAAGTGTGGTGCTGACGGCCGATGGTCGGTTTCAAACTTTTACTGCAGACGTACGTATTCCAGATTTTATATTTTGAGGAAATTTAGTAAATGATATGAATGAAAATAATCCAAATTTAACCCCAAAATTAGTCGTTCTCAATCAGTAAATATTTAACGTTTTAGCGGATTGTGGAGCACCCCCAAAAATACCACGAACCACTATTAAGGGACTGGAAGGGGGTACACTGGAGGGCACTACTATAATGTATATTTGTGATGATAACACCGATCCCTCTGGAACCCCAACAAGCGTGTGTGGTGATGATGGACTTTGGTCAGAAGTCACAATTAAATGCACAGGTAAGTTTAACATACGAAACTACTAATTGTAGACTAAAGAAAAAATTAAACCATTATCGAACCTGAAATTGAAAATAAAAAGATAATAAGCATCCTAAATATTTTCAGCAAATTGTGGAACCCCAAGTAACATCCCTAGAGCCATAATTAGAGAAGGATTGACGAGCGAAGGAGCAGTGAGAGTTTATGATTGTAAAGTTGGAACAGTAGCTGAGGGAGATAACGCAATCACGTGTCAGAGTAATGGCCTCTGGACCAGGTCGGAACTCTACTGTAGGCGTAAGTATTGGCTTTGTATTAGTACGGTACTAAAATTTTCTTTTATCTCTTTCCTAAAATTAAAAAAATTAAAATGAAATTCTGAATATGTAATGTTTACTTACACAGCGGATTGTGGTCAACCACGCGTGATTGAACGAGCAACCATCTCTCCTGGTGGTACGCTAGAAGGAAGCGTACGCACGTACACTTGTGATGCAAATTCGGAAGCAGAAGGAGATACCGTCACCACGTGCAGAAAAGACGGAACATGGACAACAATTAACCTTTACTGTCGACGTAAGCGCTGACATTATTATACTCGTACTTCTGTAATTTGATTACGTTTGTTCAACAATGCCTACATTTATATGAAGATTAAGTATATTCTAAGCTCTTTATTAATGCAATGTTTGTTAACAGCTGATTGTGGAAAGCCACCTCCTATCGCCAGAGCTACAGTCCGACCGGGTGACACTACTGAGGGGTCAGTCAGAACCTACATCTGTGATGCCGATACGAAGGCTACAGGAGACTCAACCATCACCTGTCAAAAGAATGGAAAATGGACAATATCTACACTCAACTGTGAAAGTGAGTAATTAAATAGCAGCACAAAGAAGTACCGCTTTGTACCAATAATGAATAATGATAAACGAGAAATGGTTTTCAATACAATGTAATGGTGATACGACCTCTCAAGTGTGATTTTTAAATAACATTCTATTTTTCAGTATCGGTTGTCGTGCCACCTGATCCTGATCTACCTCCCGGAATAGGTACATTATTCTTTAAATCTTTTATATACTTTTAGTTCAAAATTCATTTATAAAATTTTAAAATGATTTGATATGCCTGCATTTAATAAAATTGATAATTTCTTCAAACTTTAAATTAAATTTAATGATAAAGACAATTTTATTGTTAAATGATCTTTAAAAAAGAGTAATTTATTATATTTGATATATTTCATATTTTAGATATCTGTGATAAATGTTTAATGAGGAATGGGGTTGGCTTTGTTGGTCATCCAGAACATTGTTATAAATTTGTCCAGTGCTATTTTGGAACAAAGGGGGAAACCCGTTCAGCGATCAGAAGTTGTCCATACGGACAATATTGGGATCAGAATGCTTTAACTTGCAAACTGGCCAAACAAGTTACCTGCTATAAAGGTAGTTTACTCATTTTTACACCTGATTTATTTAGAACTACATGAGTAATTATCAGAAACTGTTAATATAATATAAAATAAATATTTCTTATTTTTAATTTGTTTTATCTTGATAATCCTATCAAATGCTTCATTGACTTTGTATATATTTCTTCTTTTTATTCACAGAAAAATGTAGACTACCAGCTTTGAAATCCTACGCCATGCAACACGTACAAAATTGTCGTGCTTACTGGAAATGCATCCTAGGAAAGTCCTACGGCATGTGTTGCCCAGAAGGAAAGCGATATAAACCATATGTAGGATGTATCACGGATTCCTCCTGTACCGATGCCTGTCCACCGCTTTCAGCTGGGTTGGGAGCTTGTGATTCACGGATGATTTTTGGTAACCCTGCCTTTTTTGAGCAGTACGTTCCTGGTCATAATTGGATAAAAATGCCGTGTCCTCCAGGAACTTCTTATAATGCTGCCGACTGCGCCTGTACTACACATACTGAAATCGAAACCCAGAATAAAGGTTGGCTTGCATATGTTTGTTTTATAAGTTTAAAAAAAAAACTATTTTGCTTTTCACGATAATTTCTGATGTATTCCTATAATTCAATTCTTTCAATGTTTTATGAATTTAAGATTTTTTTTTATTAAAGCTCAAGAGCTAGATTTTTATATACGTTTTTTTTACAGTTTGCCGCCCAGAAGTTTACCTACCATTTGATACGGATACCAATGATAAATCCGGAAATGGCGTATATATACAAAACAATAATGTTTCGGTTGTTCAGGGCGTAGCTTACTTCAATGGAGAAGCAGAGCTAGTTATACCCAGATTTTCGAATTTTGACTACAAAGAACTTGTGATAGCTTTCACTTTCTTGGAAACACCACCTTCCCAAGAGGTGACAGCTTTAGTCAGCAACAGTGACTGCTGTTCTTCAACGCCGACATTGGCGATGGTGAAGAGTTACAAAAGTGTGCACTTCTTAGCCAAATGTAGTGGAGGACTAGTTACAACGTTTAGATTACCAGTTCATGTAAGATTGTTTGTTGAATATCATAAAAATTGACGTTCAGTGCGGATTTTGCAGACATGTTATTTGTTTCAGACAAGTGCATAACTAATATTTCCTCATTTTTTACTCTCTTCCAGTTAGGAAATTGGAATAAGGTATTTTATATTCATGATACGGAGAAACTAGAGGGACGATGTAACGGCATAGATTATTCAAAATGGGCTATTGGTAAGTAAAATAGAAGAAAACAATCAAAAACTTTAAGGAGATTACTTATAAAATGTTGATACCCTTTGACTTCTGGCCAGACTGCTTTTTAAACGCAATTATTTTAATGAGTGAAAATGACTTATTATAAAGATTGAATTTATACTTAAAAACAATGTATTTTACAGGGCCAATACAGTCAACACATACAGCTATACATATAGGTTATGGAAGAGGTTTTAAGAATTTTAAAGGATATATGGACGATGTGAGTTAAATATGATTCTTGTTGAAACTACTTTTAATATATATCCCCCTTATATTTACTTACATGTATAATTGATGTAATGCATATTTATTAAAACCCATTATAATATTACTTCTTTTAAATTAATTTACTTATTCAAAATTCCTTTTAATTCTTAAATTTTTTTTTAAAAGAAGCAATCATTCTTTTTTTTTTCTTCTATTTCAGGTGACTATTTTCTTGTGCAAACCGAGATATATATAAAATGATTGATTATCCAAATTGATGAAATCCAACACAAATGTAAAATTTTTAAGGGGAAAAATCGAATGATTCTAAGTATACATTGTCTACCGGTGTGTACATTCACGTGACTTTTATTAGAGACTTACAGAGCTGTGCAATACTTCAGGAGAGTACCTGTCTCGTTCTTTGGAGTATAGAAATATTCATGATTATATGTAGAAGAAATACCTTTTATTCTTTGTTGAAATCCATTGTGTTTTATTAAATTATTTACAAAATATATGAAGCATCTTTGTTTTTGTTTTTTTAATTTATTTTGAAAAAATGCAGAATATGATAAGACAGAACTACAGTTTAAGTCTTCTATAACAAGGATTAGCGTCGAAAATAAATTTAGTAGGAAGTCCTACAGTAAAATAAAACACAAGAGAAACAGCTCGAGAGGGACGTTAAACAATACAATCTCAATATAGTTTCACTTTTTTAGTATGAATTATGCCTCTTTATATATTTAAAATTGATCAGATAGTAAATTAGGCACTACCGAATTTAATTTGCATGACACAGTAAATAATTCTTTTACAGTTCGTTACTTAGTATGTAATGTTTTCTATTGTGATTTATCTGGTTTTAAATCGATATATCTTTCTTTTCGAATTTACATAAAATAATTTGCTCTTTATATGTTAATGTCATCAATAAAAAAATATTGCTCTAAATGATTGTTGGAATGTTAAAATCCGTTTAAATAATGCAATTTATATAATGCAAGAATCATTATCATATATTAAAGGGTGGTTCCTGGTATGTAACAATGGGTTTGACTTTTTTTTTATTCTTTGAGAAATTATTTTCTACTTAAATACCTGTATGCGAACAAACAGAAACTTTAAACGGATTTCTTTTTACAAATAGTTAACTTAGAGATTATAAAAAGGATAACCATTAAACTTTGCATTTGATATAGTTTTGTTTGATGGCATTCTTGATACACAGATGATCTTAAGTTTCATTTAGAATTAAAGAAATTGGAACCTTTACCCAGAAAGTAATCATTAATGTATTTTTTAAAAGGTGTTTTTATTTCGATATGTTTGTTGTGTTTGTTTTCACATTAATTTATAGAGATCTATAATAGCCTGCTAATGATGATGGAATCCTTTTATTATAAATGATGAATATAAAATATGGAGATAACCAACAGTATTCAGGATCAAAAGTCCATTTGAACAATACAAAATAGGAGCAGAGTAAACACGAACCTCCAAAATAGCTCTATGTAGGTGGGATCAGGTGTCATGGAGGAGTGAGCATCCGTGCCGACCGGTCACATCCGCCGTGTGATGCTTGTCATGATCGGGAAATAACAGAAAAATCCGTCGTCAGTTCAGTGTATAAAAAATGGACTAAAAATTAGTATGAAAAACGTCACTCAGCATTTAACTCAATGATAAGTTGTATTGGCTGACAAGGTCATTGTATCGACCATAGAACTTAGGAGAAGATGACTTTAAACGAGCCTGCTGAAATTCTTGTTTCATCAACTTGTTTGTCAATAATTTACCTCGTTGTAGAAATTGTTCATACATAGAGCATGTTCTTGCATATCTAATCAACTGAGATATGTAAACTCCGTATGCAGGTGATGAAGGTATATTGCTGCATAAGTAAGGGAAGTTGATGATAGAAAAGTTAAAGTCATCACGTTTATCATAGAGTATGGTTGTTAGATTACCATTATTGTATTTTTCAAGTAAAATATCTAAATATGAAACAGATGTGTCAGACCCCGTGTAATGAATAATGTTATTGATTGATGAAATGCTTAATAAAGTCTCAATTAATTACATTTTGCTCTTTTACTATATCTATTGAATACAAGTAAAATACTTTTCTGTTATATTTTGATTGATTCAATTTCATTTATTTATTTAAACAAATGTTCAACATTAAGTCGAGTAAAATGAGCAGAAACATTTTATAGATTTTATAACGTCTTTGATTTTTGTGCACTATTTTTGTCGATCCATAATGACAAAAACAGCAACTGTGCTGTATAAAACTCATTGCTTATGCATGTAATAATACACAAAATTAATTGATTAAATCTATTCATACTTAAAAAGATAAGTTTATTAAAATCTACCAGTTTGTAGTCTTTTTCCCTGTTATTTCAATATTTATCAAAGATTAAAAAAGAAGTAAATAGAATATGAATAAAAAGATGAAAATTTCAAATCTTAGAATTAAGTGATGTAATATTTTCAAACATAATGATATTGGCAGTATTTTAACGTCTTATTATTATAGATAACATACTATTCCACAGTAATCTGTTCACATAAGAACCATCTCTACACTGCATTCTAATTCAAGGGTACTTATGTAAGACTTATACACCATTTGATATGAAATACAGATAGAAAAACCTGGTACAGTAAAAAATATAATTCGCAATTGATTCAAGAAGAACTCAACATCTTATTAGACCAAGATAGCTTAAATGAAAACTTAATTTGCATGTATTTTCCTAATTCGAGTTAGCAAGTGCGATTTTCCATTATCAGAACGTTTTGTTTTTGAAAGATTTTTACCTTTATTAATAAAGACATGACCAAAATTGAAAATGAACTACTATAATATAGTTTTAATTATATGACTTATTTTCTCAAAGTTAAAAAAAAAAGAAGCTTTTTTCGGTTTAAAGAGAGTTCTAAAACTTAATGAGTACATGTATATCTGCAACGCATTGAAACGAAACTTAAAAGACTCTTCATGATTTAAAAAAAAAAATTGAATCTATGTATTACATGTGTATCACGACTAGACTTGATAACTTTCATGTTAACTATAACTTTAATAGCTAATTTGGTATTTGTATTTCATATAAATTCAAAATTGACAGAAGAATAGTTCACTTAATAATATTTAATCAGTAAACCTTTGAAGATAGCGTGTAATTATTATTAAGGTATAAAATATTGATAATGTTTAGATTTCACATACTATGACTCATTGAAAATATAAAGATCCGTGCCGAGAGAGTAAGATTAGTATGGAGATATAAAGTAACAATTCTTTATTTAATTCTTTTTGAACTATACAACTTTTATAACTCACTGAATTGACAACGAATTATTCCGTTATTTCTCGATCATGACAAAGAGCACCGGTCGGAGGAGGATGCTCACTCATCCATGGCACCTGATCCCACCTCTGAGGTTTTCGAAGTCAGTGTTTGTACCGTTCGCTCCTTTTTTGTATTGTTTTATTGACTTTTGAGCTTGAATAATATTCGTTATCTCCATATATTTTATGGATTCTTTGCATGACGTCCCCTAGAGAATTTTTCACTCATTTATTAGGACGATCTCACTTGCCGATGAAGGCTGCAAATTTATACCTGTGCTTAGCACTTAAAGTCTTTAAGAAGTGAGGAATTTTTTTTCTTGTCAGAACTTACTGCAACACAGGACCTTAATTTATACGGTCTCATCCGAAGGACCAGTCTCCATGTTCGCAGTGGAATTCAAATCCACAAAACAAGGATCAACTCCTTCCTTACTCTATTAACCTAGATCTGGAGAAAATGCTCTACACTGCGGCACTAGCATTGGACTACTCAGTTAATGACAATTTTGAGTGTGAACCTGATCTTAGTATGAAACTTCTCAAAATATTAGTTTTTTATGGGAACAGTCTAAAAATGATTGCTAAGTGCATACATATATGCTTGTTAAATTCCATTTTAAAATGTCAGAAATTCCTGATTTTAGAAAACATCGCACAAAGGACAAGTGCACCAGAGAGAATGGGTGGAGCTCTCTACATAGTTTATAAAGATAAATATTTCGGGTTTTTTTTTTCAGACAGGATCTAGTTTTTAATTAATTTTGAATTCAAATACTCAGTGATATGTTTTCCTTTAGTAACATTTGACTTTATTTGTTGATTAGGAATATTTTTTTTTTTTGCATTTATTATAAAAAATTATTTTTGATGAATTAGCTGCTGTTTCAAAATGTGCTTGGTTATCCTGTAATTATGCAAAAATGATAATCTTGCTATATCATGAAAAACTTTAACAATTCTGAAAATATTTTGCCATTTAAACTTTAAACAATTCAACATTTTCAAGAAATATGAAGAACATACAAAATAAATAGACAACATTATAAGTTCTGTATCTTTATTTCTGCATCTGTTTTAGCAAACTTTATTTGATTAATTTTTAAAAAAATATTTGAGGGTATATAAAAAAAATCTAGCTATTTAACGAACGCACGCATACTTAATTAAAAGCCTACTCATCAGTCAGTATTGGATTGCATCATACATCTTAATTATAAATTGACAATAAACCATATCTCTCTTCACTGAGTTTAATATCCTTTATAATCATTTGCCTGCTTTTTGAAATAATTCTGTAAGATAAAAGCCTAAAACTTGTTGCACATTTTAAAGAAAATAATTATATATATAAATGTATATGTATATATTGATTATAAGGAATCGGGTTGCAAGAGCGAAAAAATAGTGTCGATTTGTGCCTCAGAGCGTTACCCATTGATACATTTAAATGATAAATGGGATCTGAACTCTATTAATTTAAATACAATGTATTATATTTTTATGTGACATTTCAACCTTGATTTTTAACAGATTGAGACGAAGTTAATTTATAAATGCATCGTTTAGTTATGGAATGTTATTTTTTCATTATTTTATTCTTGTGTTTCAAATTGAATTATGGACAAAATTCCACAGCAGATGATGGTAAGTGTTGACTTTTGAGATTTTGTATCATTCCATTTATGATTATTTCACTTTAAACAAATCTCTGTGAATGATATCAATTTTTAAATACTAAATAGCAATGAAAGGAAATACATTTATCAATACTATTTTTTACGTAAAAGAAGTAAGTACTAGTTATATATTGCTGAAAAATGCTTCATAACTTCATCAGTTTATGCTTTATATAATGTATCAGTATGACTGAAAGGTGAGAATTACCAAAAAAGTATTAAAAAATATTTAGAGTGAAAAATGGAGATAACGAACAGTTTTCAAGCGCAAAGGTCCATTTAAACAAAACAAACCAGAAACAGAGCAAACAGGGACCTCTATAGCATCGGAGCTGGGATCTAGTGCTATGGAAGAGTGAGCGACCCCTGCATTGTGTTTTCGATTAAAATAACACAAAATATAATTTCTTGGGAGTATAAAAAAAAAAACTTTCCACATTTTCTCATTTTAGATTGTGAGGACCTTGAAAAAGGAGCATGCTTTCTTGTCTTGGACCGACCGTATCTTTGCTACCGACCCAACAACCAGATCAAATGTTGTTCAACTTGCAAACAATTTTTCACAAATATAGAAGGTGAATCTCATAAATAGTGTTTCTAATGCTTTTGAATGTTTGAGTATTTTAACCCAATAATTTTTGTTCTCATCGATTTGCTTCAGGATCAAAGCTTTATTTATGAAATCAAAATATAATGCATTAAAAAACATGAAATATTTATTGTTAATCACACATACATCCCTTCTCTTACATTATACAGGCTGTGAATATGGGAATCGCCGAAAGGTTTGTGATAAAAGATTTTGTCCAAAAAATGACAGAATAGACCCTTTCTGTTGTTGGACTTGTGGAGGCTATACGACAACAACAACGACAACAACAACCACCACCACCACAACAACAACAACAGAACAACCAACGACGACAACAATCACTACAACATCTACAGAACCAACCACAACAGCGACCGAACAAACAACAACTAAAACAATAAATATATACACCCCTATTCGGTATTGGAAACGTGCCAGAGATATTTTACACTCCAGATATCGGCTTAATGCTATATGGAATGCTCTAAAAAGGACGTTTTTCCTCGACATCGATGATGAAAAGAATTAATTTGAATGAACATAATGGATTACACCATTTTCATTTACGTTCATGATTTACGGTATAAATTTGAACAATGTGACCAGAATATTTATGTTCTCAGTTGTAAACAGTTTACTAGATAGCTAATGATCTTTCATTCATTTTTCGTTATAAAACAATATTTCTTTGATAATAATGCTTTTATCAAGCTCGTCAAAGGTTAAAGAAAGGAAGTACTAATAAATCTTCCAATCATATTCGAATATTTCTTTTCAATTCATTGTTGTTCATCTGTTGTTTGTTTTTGGGAATGGTTGAGGAAACAAGCCAAATTCTGTCATTTATTGGAGGACCATATTATACTAGTGATTTCAGGATTGGATAATCTTATTTTTTTTTAAACATTACTCATTCTGACGTATATTTTAATGTTGCTTTCTTTTAGAATATTACGTGAATTGATCACTGAAAAGTCTGGAAAGGTGATTGAATGCCAAAAATCTGCCATTGAGTCACATTTTATACATTTTTAGTTACTTCTTAATTAACTGAAGGATAAAAGTTAAACATGAGTCTATTCTCATATCTTTTATAATTATATGAGACTGTAATCGTGTTTACTGGTTCAATATGATTTCTTTGAAAATTTCAATAAGTAAAAATCTACGTAGTGCTAATTGTCTTTATCAATTGAATAAAAATATTCTGCAATTTTTTTTCTTTACTCTTTTGTATAGAACGTAGTCTAGTATCTGACCTGGAAAAGCTACATTACCTTTCAAATCATTACTATTTTTCCCAACATGTCCTTCTTTGTCACTTTGAATTCCTTACCATTCGACTGAAATGCATTACGTTGGAAATCTAACCCGTCCGTCCCTAACCTTTATTTGTAGGATAAGTAAAAACCATTGGCAATATCGGATAACCATAGTAAAAGTTTTGTTAAAGCTTCTTCATGACAAGGATCTGAGTAAATATAAAATTGATAATAAGTAAGTTGTCTAGTATTGCAGTAAGCAGGTACGCACAAAATTATGGAGCACCAAATAAAGATACATGTAAATCCATATACTAGTAATTATTTGAAAATACCTTCATATATTTGTACATGCATTTGTCTTCAAATAATTGAATCTAAATTTTCAAATGAAGCGAAGTTAGGTACAAAAGAATTAAAGATAAGTCTAACTGAATCAATCATAGATACAAATAACAAGAGCCCATGGACCACATCGCTCACCTGAGAACATGGGCTAGTTAAAAAACACAAATCAGCTCAGTATTGAAAAGTTTACTTGGTGGGGGAGGGGGATTTGAATTTTTTTATTACTTGAGAATGTCACTATATCAATAAAGCATACGTGTATAATTTCGCCATACTTCAGGAGAAGAGTTTTAAAGATTTTTCCTATATATTTCTATGTAAAGATTTGATTGCCCGTCATGGCCCCACCTTACTCCCAGGGGTCACGATATGAGCAAACTTGAATTAACTCTAACTGAGAATGTTTCCACATTAATATCACCAATCATAGCTTTGCTAATCTTGAGAAGAAGATTTTTAGAAGATTTTCCCTATGTATTCCTATGTAAAACTTTGATCAGCCATTGTGGCCCCAGCCTACCCCCGGGGGTCATGATTTGAACAAACTTGAATCTACACTACCTGAGGATGCTTCCACATGAGTTTCACCTTTTCTGGTCCAATGGTTCTGGAGAAGATTTTTTTTTAAATTCCTATATATTCCTATGTTAAGCAATATGAGCTGCTTTTTGAAAATTTTATTTTGCGTTTAAAAAGTGTTATTATGATAAAATTGTATGTACCCTAAACCTTTATGACCAGATAGACTAAAATAAATCAGAAGAAAGACTTCTATATCCAATATACAGTTTCATATAAGAAATTATTATTGTACAGGACGACAATAATGTAATTTTGATTCAATCGAAGCTTATAAATAGTTCCCCCATCGCAAATATGAAAAAAGAAGTTTATATATGTTATTTTTTTTCTGTCATTGAAATAGTTATTTACAATTTTGCAACAAAAAATTCCGACATCAAAGCTGCAGTTCATATTACTTTAAACTTAGCCATTGTGGCCCCGCCCAACCCTCATGATTTGAACAAACTTGAATCTGTAATACCTGTAGATCTTCCACATGAGTTTCATCTTTCCTGGTCCAGTGGTTCTGAAGAAGAAGATTTTTAAAGATTTTCCCTATGTATTCCTATGTAAAACTTTGATCAGCCATTGTTGCCCCATCCTACCCCCGGGGGTCATGATTTGAACAAACTTGAATCTACACTACCTGAGGATGCTTCCACATGAGTTTCAGTTTTCCTGACACAATGATTCTGAAGAAGAAGATTTTTAAAAGATGTCATTAATTTTTCTTTAATTCATAATTATCTCCTCTTGGAAGAAGGTTTGGCCCTTTATTTGAACAAACTTGAATCCCCTTTACCCAAGGATACTTTTTGGTAAGTTTGGTTGAAATTGGCCCTGTGGTTCTTGATGAGAAGATTAAAATGTGAAAAGTTTACGACGACAACTACAACAACGACAAACAACAGACAAATTTTGATCAGTAAAGCTCACTTGAGTCTTCGGCTCATGTGAGCTAATAAAACCTTTTTTTAAACGACTATCTTTCAATCAATTCAAAATGAAAATAGATTCAATTAAAATATAATTGAATTATACCAATTTCAAATGAGTTTTTGCATTGTACAAATCAATTAAATATGAATACAATTAGAACACGTACATGTAGGTCCAATTTAATTGCACCTCTCTTTCAATCGATTATATGTACATTTAAATTTTTATAATTTTTTGAATGTTGGTTGGTTTAAGTCCCTCTCGACAATGTTTTACTCATAAGAAGACGCAACCACTTGACTGAGAAGGGCTGCAAATGTATATGTACTTATACTCGGCACTATGGGCTTTTGAGCAGTAAGGGACCTTTTTCGATCTAAAATCTATACGGTCTCATCCAAAGAACCTGTGTCCACGTGCTTCGGTGGAATCCAATCCGTGACGTAAGGATAATCTACATACTTTGCGACTCTGGAGCGGACGATCTACCACAGCGCCATGCTAGCGACAAATGTTGAATTGACTTTTTCGAACAAAAAATCAGAAAATTAATGACATATTCATTTTGATCAAAAAAGATAACCAGGAAAAAAGTGATTCTATCAAAAATGAAAAGTTTCACTTTTGTGTAAAGATCAATTTCAATAATTTCAAATGATCTTTAAGTAATATGTTTTCATGTGTTAAACTTGAAAAATCCCAAGTAAAAAAAAAATCTCCATATTTATAGCACTTGATCTCATTAAACCAAATTAGAATGAATACAAACCATATTATAAAGAGGCTAACACAGCTGTTCACCATATATTTAATGCTTGTTACATATATTTTGACACAAAACAATTTTTGGGTAAAATTTGACTTTTTCCTTCACAGTTGAATGATTAATTGGGAACATTGTGATTTACGTCTTCTATATATTAAAAATCAGGTCATATTCTTATATGTTCTAGAATTGACGCGACGTCACATCTGATGTATCGGTATCATATTCTCAAACATATCTACATTAAAAAATGTAGGTTAACTGTTCACATAAGGATATAAATTTTGTTGTTACGAAATAAATTCAAAGGTACTAGGAATTCTCTTTCCCTGCCAAAAGTAACAAATTAAAAATAGGCCTACCTCAAACCAATAAGTTGAAAGTGTTTGATATAGACAAGGGTGAGCTACTGTTCAAAAGCTATAAAATGAAAACGCAGGCAATTCATTACAATTAGGAAATGAAAGATTATTATTACACGAAATGATGATATAAATTACATGTACATAAATATACAACATTTGTTAAATACATTTAAAGAGATCACTTGAAATAAATATTGGGAGTTAAATGGGTTCAGCACTAAATGACTATGATATAGGTTACTTCTATATATCCACAGATCTTTTTTGATGTATGCAGCGGTTCATCTTTTTCTATGATTAATTAAAGAGTTGTTTTAATTCTCAAGTTACGTAAATGTAAATCAATAAAATATGGACAGCCTAATCAAGCCCAGAGGTCCATTTAAACAATACAAATCTAGGACAGGGCAAATTGGACCTCTAAAACTTCAGAGGTGACAACAGGTTATATGGAGGAGTAGGAATCCCCATTCTACCGGTTAAACTAGCGGTTCTTGCTTGTCATGATCAGAAAAATGGAGAGAAAAGACCATTGGCAATGTACTGTTTAAATAATGATCTAAAACTTAGTATGAAAAACGTCAGTCAGCATTCGACTTAATGAAAATTGCATTTGCTCATAACGTCGTTGTATCGACCATAGATCATACTATATGAAACCAGTCTGTTGGAATTCTTGTTTAATTTAAAATGAAGAGGGAGAGATAACTCTTTAAACTAAGATTAAGTAAAAAATGAAGCTTGAAATAGAAATCTTTTCATGCAACAATTTTCATTTAATGCATCTCAAGGAGATTCAAGGTTCTTTGAAATGGTTTAATAGACAATTTGTATCTCCTAAAAGTATTTTTAAAAATACATATTCAAGGAAATCAGTTCTTTTGATCTAGCCTTAGGTACCAATGTTTATCAGTATGGTATTTAAATAGAAGTGATTTATTGTATTTTGCACTATGCATTATAAAATGATGGAAGTAAAAAAAGAAACTTAAAAGTATAAAAAAATCATGCAATTTTATTCAAAAGCCTAAAATGATGTATTTGTTGATCAATATTCAATTACAATGACAAAGTAGGTGTTTTTATTTGTATTCCCTGAAAAAAGTTATTTGAGATTTACTAATTTTTTGGTTTTGTTAATTTTTTTTTGTTTCCAAAGATTAAATGATACTAACAAAATACTTCTTTGTTTTTAAAGAAAAATGCTATATATTTTCCGGTTTTGAAAACATGCAAAAGATCTTTTTCAAGGCTTGAAATAAGATAGCAAAAAACTACGGTTTTTAAGCACCGGCATGATTTATGGACAAAAATATATAAAGAATGTGAACAGAATAATTATGCTATATTACAAGATGTAAACAGTTAAAAAAAGCCTGTATTTGTCCATACAGTTTTTTCTCTGTTT